GAGTCCGCTCTGTCGCCCAGGATGGAGTGCAGTGGCCGGATCTCAGCTCACTGCAAGCTCTGCCTCCCGGGTTTACGCCATTCTCCTGCCTCAGCCTCCCGAGTAGCTGGGACTACAGGCACCCGCCACCTCGCCCGGCTACTTTTTTGTATTTTTTTAGTAGAGACGGGGTTTCACCGTATTAGGCAGGATGGTCTCGATCTCCTGACCTCGTGATCCACCCGTCTCAGCCTCCCAAAGTGCTGGGATTACAGGCTTGAGCCACCATGCCCGGCCTGAAGATTTTGGAATACTTGCACATGCATAATGAATTATATTGGGGATGAGATCCAAGCCTAAACATGAAATTCATTTGTTTCATATACACCTTACACATATTTTTTTTTGGTAATTTTTTTTTTGGCGGGGCGGGGGGAACAGAGATTTGCTTTTGTTGCCCAGGCAGGAGTACAATGGCGTGATCTCGGCTCACTGTAACCTTCGCATTCTGGGTTCAAGCGATTCCTCTGCCTCAGCTTCCCGAGTAGCTGGGATCAGAGGCATGTGCCACCACACCTGGCTAATTTTGTATTTTTAGTAGAGATGGGTTTCTCCATGTTGGTCAGGCTGGTCTCAAACTCCTGACCTCAGGCGATCCGCCCATCTCAGCTTCCCAAAGTGCTGGGATTACAGGCGTGAGCCACCGTGTCCGGCCGCCTAAAGGTAATTTTATACAATATTTTTAGTAATTTTGTGCATGAAACAAAGTTTGTGTACACTGAACCATCAGAAAGCAGAAGTGTCACTCTCTCAGCCACCCATGTGGACAACCTGTGATTATTTGGCATCACCATCATTTTTGACTCTGAATTTATGTGCTCCCAATAAGCATTTTTTTACCCTTATTCAGACATCAGTACTTAACAATAAAAATATAACATGCCATTAATGCAGTGAAAAAATAAAGTGTTCAGGGTAACTCAGCAGCACATGAGCATCAGTAGAATGGCTGTGGCCGCTGTAACAACAGCACAGCAAACATGGCAGGCCTGCAGTCTCCAACTACAGTGCTGAAAAAGCTTCAAGTTTCAGCCTGGGCGTGGTGGTTTACGCCTGTAATTCCACTGTGGGAGGCCAAGGTAGGCGGATCACTTGAGGTCCAGAGTTTGAGACCAGCCTGGCCAACATGGCAAAACCCTGTCTGTCTCTACTAAAAATACAAAAATCAGCTGGGCATGGTGGCACATCCCTGTAATCTCAGCTACTCGGGAGGCTGTGGGATAAGAATCACTTGAACCCTGGAGATGGAGGTTGTGGTGAGCTGAGATCACGAGATCGTGCCACTGCACTCCACCCTGGGCAACAGAGTGAGACACTGTCTCAAAAAAAAGAGAGAAAAAAAAAAGCTTCAAATTTTGGAGCATTCTGGATTTCAGTTTTTCAAATTAGGAATGCTCAACCTGTATTGGTAAATTTGTATTTTTGTTTTTGAACAGTGGCCTCCCCATTGTAAGCTTCTGGATCCACTCCTGGTTACACGAACGACTAACAAGTGACAAGGGAGGAAGGTGTGTTCCACACAGAGGGAACAGCATGTTTGAATGCCTGGAGATTTGAAAGCGCATGGCATGTGATAGGGGCCACAGCCTCATCACCCTCTTTACATGTACTGCTGCTGGCCTCACCATCCTCACCCTTTCCCACCTCCATGCCTTCATCCATGCTGCTCCCGATCTGGTACACCCTCTCCACGACTTCAGTTTGTTTAAATAATATAAACTTCAAGGCTGAGTTCTGTCACCACCTCTTCCAGGAAGCTCCCCAGGCTCTCCCCTTGTCTGAATTCTTTATAGTTGCTGGTGGATGTCATCACAGCTTGCTTCTAGTAGTTAATTATCTTTTTCGTGCCTGTATATGAGACTCCCAGAGATGGGATGATTCTGGCAAATGAACACCTGGCCGCTGCTCACAAATGGGCAGGATGGGACTTCACTGCCTTTCCAGGCAGCCTGCTTAGATTTAAGCAGCTACTACCAAGCCCAAACTGCCTGGCTCCCCTGGGATCTGGTGCAAGTCCTGTCCCCACTGTGGTTGCTGCTGCAGGCTGTCCCCTTCTGCTTCTTCTTCTGGCGTCCTGGAGGTCATGGTTGCTCCAGGGGAGCTACAGTCCTTCCTTACTTCTGTCTCTTCCTTTGTGAAGGGACAGCTCTAATGGCAGCCACATGCTCTGATGAGTCATGGTTAAGAGCAGCATCTGGGGCCAGGAGGTGGTGGCTGGTTAACTCTTCATGGGCCAGTGGCTCTCTCTGCCAGAAGATCAGGTCAGGTGGAGACACTCGCCTCAGGGCTCGGTGCACAGTGGACATTTGGGGAGTGTTGTGGGTGACCCCCACACAAGCGCTGGGAATGCCGGGGAGAGGGGGCCAAGAGGGGAAGTGGCCAGAGTGTTGGCTTTGGATTCAGGAGGGATGGATTCCAGTCCTAGCTTGCCATTTACTAGGTGAGTGACCATGCGTGAATCAAATGAACCGCATGCCTCAGTTTTCCCATCTATAAAATAGCAATTATGGGGATCATTTGAGAAGGCAGTGTGAACTGCCAGCTAGCGGTGACTGCTAAACCGCGTTTTTCCCGCCTTCTGGTCTCCTGCAGTCACTCAGTGGGCAAGATGGTGGGATTAAAATCCAGGCCTGGCTCTGGGGGCTGTCTTTGTCTGTACGAATGCCCTAATTAATGCGGGAGCATGGTGACGGCTCAGGTGGGGGCCGCTTCGGAGCGGGAGCTGTGGGGAGGGGAAGTGACAGTAAAGTGGACCTCGGGTCCCGGAGAACTTCTAGCACCAAATAGGTGGGGACGTGTGAGGAGGGCGCCAGCTCCCGGCCCGGGCGGTGTCTGCGCAGAGGGCGCCGGGCTCTCACCTGTCGGAGCGGGGGTGGGGGCCGCCCCAACCCCCTGGCGGTGCAGGAGCGCGGGTCGCCGCGGGCGGCCATGGCCCCACGGTGCGGGTGGGGAGACCGAGGCCCGGCCCGGCCCCGCCGCCTTCCCCGCCCCCGCCGCGCCCCTCCCCGGCCGCCGCGTCCGCGACCGCACAGCGCCCGGCTCGGGGTTCCGGCGGCAGCACCTGGGCCGCTGCTGGCGTCCGGCTGGGGCAGCGCAGCCCGCGCCCCTCGGTGATGACCTCGGCTGGCGCCCCGGGAGCCCTGCCCGCAGGGTAAGTGCGCGGCTGGGAGGCCCGGGGGCGCGGGCGGCGCCGGCTGGGGCCGGGGCGGGTGGCGGGCGCCACGCCAGGCCTCCCCCGCGCACCAGCCTGGGGCCGCACTGCGGCTTCCAGCCCCCACCCCGCCAGGCCCCTGGGAGCCGCCGCCGCCGCCAGGAGTGGGGGCGGGGGCTGCGAGGAGGCGGAGGCGTGGAGACCCCGGGTCGGTCACTCCCCTTCTGGGTCCCAACTTTCTCACGGAGCTATAGTCACAGACACGTTCAGAGCAGCCTTCCCCACCTGCCTCGTGGCGTTCACTCCTGTGGGGTGGGCCCTGTTACTCTCATCCCCGTTACAGATGAGGAAACTGAGGCACAGCACTTAAGTGACTTGTCATCGGTCACCCAGGAGGTAAGAGTTGGGGGTGGGATTTGAACTCAGTTCTGTCTGTTGTCAGATCCCCCTACCCCATCATCTTCAGGGACATTAGGGGAATTTAAACGGCTAAGGTATGGGCCAGCCGGGCCCATTGGGTGCAGCAGGAACCTGGATAGTAAAAAGTGAGTGTTGTCACCTTCAGCGTGGCTCTCCTGCCCAATCCTACCCACATCCCACTGAGAAACCCCTATGGGACCCCTACCTAGATCACCCCCGCCAGTGACAGACACTACTGTCGGGAGACCTTCAGCAACTCTCTGCTTTTCCTGGGCCCCAGTGGGCAGGGAAGGGGGCAGCTGCTAGGAGCCCTGACTGCTGGGAGGTTGCTGGGCAGAGAGCCGGCCCAGGTGAGCTGGGAGGAGGGCTCACCCTGCCTGGAGCCTCACCACCAGTGACAATATTTGCTAAGGGCCGGAGGCGTGACACGTGAACAGGGAGGTGACGAGGCTGGTGCCAGCTGGCAGCTAGAAGCCTCCACAGGGCTTGCGTGTGTGTGGCTGTATCAGGGCTTGGAAGCTGGGTTGCTGGGGGACACCCTGGCCTGGGAGAGGGTTGCGTGGCGAGTTTCAGCTTGATCATCTTTGTTGTATGACTTTGGCCAGTCCTTTACACTTCCTAGACTTCTGGTCCCTCCTTTGGAAAACACAGAGAAGTGGGACTGGCTGCTCCTTTCCTGCTCTGGGCCCAAGTCTTTGTAAAGCTGGAGGTTGGGTAGGTTCCTTCTGCGCAGCCCTGACTGAGCACCACCACCCTGCTGGGTCCAGAAGAGTGGTTTCCAGGAGAGAAGGAGGGCATGGAGCAAGGTATCTATCAAAGAAGTCTAGACTCCAGGGCTGAAAACCACATTCATCCCACTTCCTTATATGCTTACATCCCTGCCTAAGTGCCCTCTACAACCTTGGGCTCCTCTGGCCCTGCTGCAGGCCTCAGGACAGCAAGCTTGCTCTTCTCACGGGGGTGGGTCTTCCTTATGCGCAACTGTACCTGCCTCTCTGCATGCCTGCCCACTCTTCTTTGAAGCCCCCTGTCCATCTGTCACCACCCCTGGTTAGGGTCATCCTAGTGGGATCTGAGCAGAGGAGGGCCGCACGCAGCAGGACCATTCTCACCTTCACTACAGAGACGCTCACTCAACAGACCCTCAGCAAGGCCTGCTCTGGGGCCAGATGGTCATTGGTGAAAAAATCAAGCCTTAAATCCCTACCTCTTTAAAAATTATGAAATATTTTAAGTCTTCAGAAAAATATAGCAAATAGTAAGATGAACTCACATACCCTTGCCACCCAACTTTGTCAGATATTAACATTGTGCCCCATTTATTTTATATTCTTTTTAAGAATATAAACCATAGTAGAGACTCTTGAAAGTCTTGTGGAAACCTCTTCCCTCCTTCCCTCTCCAGAATTGATTGCCATCCTGAATTTAGGTTTTATCATTTCCCTGTTTTTATTCTTTTGCTCAATGTGTGTAAATCTTAAAAATATGTAGTTTGTTCTTACTTCAAAGTTTTCTGTGAATGGAGTCCTATAGCGTGTGTCATGCTGCAGCTTGTGTTTTCACACTCAACTTCAGGTCTCAGATTTAGCCTTGATCCTGCAGCTGTTGTCCCACTTGCCCTAACGTGTGATACAGCACCCTATGTAGACACCTCCGTTTGTTTATTTATCCTTCTTGATGGATGTCGAGATGTTCCTAGTGTCTTGACAGTGAATATTCTTGTACGATTGTCCTTTGCACATGTGTTTCACGAGGGTGGCCCCTAGTAGTGGAATTACTGGGTTGTTGGATATGTGCACTCGATCTGAAATGAAAGGAAATGAAATGAAATGAAATGAAATGAAATGGAGACAGAATCTCACTTTGTTGCCCAGGCTGGTCTCAAACTACTGGGTTAAAGCGATCCTCCTGCCTTGGCCTCCTGAAGTGCTGGGATTACAGGTGTGAGCCACCGTGCCTGGCCCACTCAATCTTTTAAAGTTATTTAGTTTCTTTATAAAGTCAGTGCTGCTTGATCAAGAAATGATGGTAAGGCTGCGTGCAGTGGCTCACGCCTATAATCCCAGCACTGTGGGAGGCCCAGGCAGGCGGATCACCTGAGGTCAGGAGTTTGAGACAGCCTGGCCAACATGGTAAAACCCCGTCTCTACTAAAAATACAAAAATTAGCTGGGCATGGTGGCACACACCTGTAATCCCAGCTACTCGGGAGGCTGAGGCAAGAAAATCTCTTGAACTCACGAGGCAGAGGTTGCAGTGAGCCTCTCTCAAAAAAAAAAAAAAAAAGATGGCAATACATAATTTTAGAAAAAATAATAATTACTCACATTTTCTGAGTACTCTTGTGCTTTCCATAGTCTTAGTCGTTCTTCACAAAAACCGTGGGAGGTAAGTACTGTCATTCCCATTTCCTTGATGAGGAAACAGAGGCTCATAGAGGGCATGGAACATTCCCAAGGTTATCCAGCAAGTAATAGCTGCAGCTTGGGTCTAGGGTTGTCTGCTTTCAGAACTCTTGCAGGCCACACTGCATTAGGTCATGCTACATCACTCCGTGACACATTTATGTGCAGCTAAGGGAGACTTTTTGGAAGGAGAGTCACAATCATTTTTGCCATTTAGAAAGATCACTTCGGAAGCAACAGATCCCCATGGACAGATTATTTTACTCATTGAGCCAAAGTTCCCCTCGGTGCTGGAGCAGGGATTAAAATCCAGCTCTGACTGCAGTTGGTTCCTGAGCGACCGCTGCGCCGCCTCACCCACCCCACACCTACCTCACCCTGACTGGGATGGAGGTAGGAGGATTTTCTGTTCTCAGTGGGAACTGAGGGTCTCCCAGCTCTACCCAGATCTGCCCATTGGCACAGAAGAAGTAGTACAAGCCAACTATAGTAGAGAAGTGGGAGGGGAGGGGAGAGTGGGGGTGGCTCTGGGCTACCTGACACCCCCTCCCACCCCCTAGCTCCCTTCTCATTCGGGCCTCAAGTGTGGGTGGGATCTGAATGAGAGAGCTGCCACCACTGTGCCAGAGCTCTTGGCATTGGTCACCAGTTCTGCTCCATCCAGCCCAGCACCTCTTCTCCCCATCCCTCTCCTCGGTTCCCCAGCACACAATGGAGAGGCCACCATCAGCGCAGGAATAGATAGATGTTACCTGGGCCAGGCAAGGTGTCCTGGGGAAAGAAAGGTCTTGGAGACGAAGGGGCAGCCTGTGGAGAAATGGGGGCCTCAGTCTCAGTCAGGTGAGGGGAAAGGTTTGGCGCTGTTGCTTCCACAGAATGCATTTTTGTCTTCTCCCAGGCTCCTGAGAGGAGCCTGACTGTGTACCTGTCTTCACTGCCTGTCCCTGCCTTATCTGTCAGAGGTAGATAAGGGTGCCTGCTGACAGGACTGAGTGAAATAATGCAGTCATCAATTTAGATAACTTGAAGTGGTAATCTCTTTGTGGCAATGGTGGTTGTTAATGCTATTATTAAGTCAAATGGGGCGTGTGTCTCCAGCCTTCCTGAGCTCTCTAGCCTCCTCAGCCTCACCCCTCCATTTAGCTGGCCTTCCAGAGCCTCTGTCTTCTAAGCCCTTCCAGAACGCTTGTACCTCCTAACTGTGATGTCATGCCTCCAACCCTGTGTGTGTGCTGTTTCCCCTTCTTAGACTTCTTTCTCCATCTTGTTCTCAGTTTGATGGCATTTTCCTTGATGCCATCCTCCTTCCATGATGCCATTCTCCTTCCACTCGGCCTCCTCAGTGCCCCAGGCTGAGTTAGAGGTGTCTTCTGGGCCCCTTTGGCCCCCAGTGATTCCCATTATCACAGCCCTGAGCACTGTGGCGGTCGCTGCCCTGTCTGCATCTGTCTCCTGTAGGCTGTGAGCTCCTGAAGAGGCAGCCCTAGATCTGTGTCCACTCTGTGTCCCCAGAGCCCAGTCCTATGCATAGCCTAGAGCATGAGATTCGTGGGTGCTTGTGATAGGGAAGGAGGGAGGAAATCAGCCCAGGGCTCAGCTTACCCCTAGTCTGGGGGAGGTCACCGCAGACAGCCTCATCCCAGTTAAGCAGAAGAGGTGCCGGGGCTGCCGAGGGAAGGACTGTGCCCCTCTGCACTGACTGTCCATCCAGCCTGGATCTTTCTCTCCAGGTAGACCAAGCAGATGAGATCTCTCCCTCGGTGGGGGATGGAGGTGATAGGGGGTGCGTGTGTGTGCAGAAATGGGAGGCAGGCTCTTGGCTCTGAAATTGTTTAGCGGTTGCCATAAACCACAACAATGGGCTTGACTCCCTGGGGCTGAGCTGATGGGCACTGGCTCAGGCAGAAACTTGGGTTAGAACGCATGCTTGGATGTGTGACCTTCGCCAAGTTACCTGTCCTCTGTGCCTCAGTTTCCCCATCTGCAATGGTATGTAGGTGTGGGGAGTAATAATCCATTTCACAGGGCATTTTGAGAGCAATTAGAGAGAATGCCAGTTAAACACCCGGGCAGTAGATGCTCACTGCTGCTTCGTTGATTCATCCAACAGAGATGAATGGCTTGAACACCAGTCACTAGGCTATGCCCTGGGCACACAGACAGACCCCGTCCCAGCCTCTGAAGAGAGGGGCAGGGGCAGCATCAGGTGGGGCCTTTTAGGCCATGGAAAGGAACTTGGCCTTTACCCTAAGAGCAATGGGAAGCCAGGGAAGGATTTTAAGTCCAGAAGTGACATGGTTTTTTTTTTTTTTTTTTTTTTTTTAGATGGAATTTTGCTCTTGCCGGGGCTAGAGTGCAATGGCGCGATCTCTGCTCACCGCAACCTCCACCTCCCAGGTTCAATCGATTCTCCTGCCTCAGCCTCCTGAGTAGCTGGGATTACAGGCATGTGCCACTACGCCCGGCTAATATTGTATTTTTAGTAGAGACGGGGTTTCTCCGTGTTGGTCAGGCTGGTCTCGAACTCCCGACCTCAGGTGATCCACCTGCCTCGACCTCCAAAAGTGCTGGGATTACAGGCGTGAACCACCGCACCCAGCCAGATTTTGGTTTTAAAGACGTATCTTTGGTGATTATGGGAGAGACAGGTTAGGGGAAATAATGCTTCCAATGTTCTCTCTCAAAGAAACTACCTAGAGGCTGGGATGAGTTACAACAAACATCCTTTAAAGTACATTCTTGGCCAGGTGCAGTGGCTCACGCCTGTGATCCCAGCACTTTGGGAGGCCAAGGCAGGTGGATTACCCGAGGTCAGGAGTTTGATACCAGCCTGGCCAACATGGTGAAACCTTGTCTCTACTGAAAATACAAAAAATTAGTTGGGCGTGGTCGTGGGTGCCTGTCATCCCAGCTACTTGGGAGGCTGAGGCAGGAGAATAGCTTGAACCTGGGAGGAGGAGATTGCTGTGAGCTGAGATCACATCACTGCTCTCCAGTCTGGGCAACAGAGCGACACCCTGTCCTCAAAAAATAAATAAGTAAAAATAATAATTAAGTACATTCTTGAGCTCTCACAGAAGTAACAGAAACACCCTCCAGCCAAGAGTGAAGAGAGAACTGAAGTCAGGCTGGCAAACAAGATGAAGCCACGGCAACCTTAGGCTGTTTACACATTTCAGAAATCTAAAGCCAGGAGTTTCAATGGCCACTCAACAGATGGGAAAGAAGGTCTTGGGCCTACACAGTTACAGTTTGAGGAGTCGGAACTTGGCATCCCCCGACTCAACACATAAATCTGGGACCCTCCGAGGGCTGCAGCCTCAGTGAAAAGGAAGATTGGCTAGAAGAAAGGTCCGCCCCCACCAGCAAAGGGAGACAGCATTTCCGGTGGGAAAAAAAGACTCCCTAAAGAATTATAAATACTGGTCTGCCATCACACAAACTTTGGGTTTGATGGCACACCACTACCTTTGTGGTCCTGGAAACCATAAACTTAAAAAAGTAACTTAAATGGTCTCAGGGTGGTAGTTCCCCCAGGAACCTGGCCAAAGTAAATGAAAAATCCTTCCTGGAGCAATCCCACTGTCCCTTTGGATCTCTCAAACGTGAATTTGTAATATGATTGCAAAACACACAGGGAAATAAGCCAGTGTGAGCAGCAGGCTCCAGAAACAAAAAAGAGCAGAATTAGTTTCCCTGGTAGTCTAAAATGCTGGAATTATGAGATATAGAATAAATAATTATGTTTAAAATGTATAAACGAATTGAAGATGGACTTTAGGCAGGGAACATAATACTACCCCAAATAACTAAGATTTGAAAAAGAACCAAGTGGAATTTCACAAAATGAAAAATACAATCATTGAAATGAAAAATTCAGTAGACAGGATAAGTAGCAGGGCAGACACACCTAATGATTGAGAGAGCTGGTGAAATGAAAGAAATTACTCAGGATCTAACAGAGAGTCCAAGAGATAGTATGGAAGTTAGTTAAGAGACATGAAATATGGAATATAAAGGTCTAACAGAGAAGAGAGAAGAAGGTGGAAAGAGTGGAATGGAGAGTGTTCCGACAGACTTGGGTAAAGATGGTGCTGGCCTGGACCAGAAGGTATTGGGCATAGAAGGGGTTGATTGAGAGATGTTAGGAAGTAGTCTGTGGCTTATACCTGTAATCCCAGCACTTTGGGAGGATGAGGTGGGAGGATCACTTGAACCCAGGAATTCGAGACCAGCCTGGGCAACATATGAGACCCCATCTCTGTAAAAATTCTTAAAAGAAAAAAAAAAAGTTAAGAAGTAGAATTGATGGGGTTTAGTGATGGAGGGGATGCAGAGGCCAGAGAAGGATGTGGCAAAGATGATTATCAGATTTTTGGCTTGAGGAATTGGGTAGAGGTGTGTTGCTTATTAAAATGGCAGACAGGCATGGTGTCTCACGCATGTAATCCTAACACTTTGGGAGGCTGAGGCAAGAGGATCACTTGAACCCAGGAGTTCATTGAGACCAGCCTGGGCAACATGGTGAGATCCCATATCTACCAAAAAAAAAAAAAAAAGAAAGGCAAAGACTGGGAGAGAACAGATTTGGGAGAATGAACAGGAGTTCAGTTTTGAAAAAGGCATGTTTCATTTTGCCTGGGAAGATCTGCTGATGCATCTCAGAGCAGGAGACTTTAGAGCTGGGCCTTAAGGTATATGTAGGAGTTACCTGGTGGAAAGGGAATTTCTTTTAACTAACTTTTGGGAAATAGGACTTCCCTTCAGGGAGAGCATCAGGCCCCTTTCTGGAACATTCTTTCACTCAAAGGAGGCCCCTTGAGAAAAGGCATTATCAAAACATCAAATAGACAGGGTTCTGGGATCTCTTAGTTCCATCTCTCATTTTTGTATGGGAAAGCTGAGACCCAAAAAAGTCAGGGGTTTGCTTTCCTAGCCTTAGACTCTTCATTCATTCATTCATTCATTCACTTAACAGATATTTATTAAAAGCCATTTTGTCCCGGATACTAGGTGCTGGGGATACAGCAGTTAAAGATTCTTGCTTCCTGGAAGTTTATAGTTTAGTGGAGGGAGACAGACAATAAACACAAAAATAAGAAAAACATATCATGTCAGAGGGTGGTAAAAGCTACAGAGAAACGTAAGGACTGGAAAGGGTTCAGGTATTCTGGAGGAGCCACTGGCAAAGTGAATTTGAAAGTTCCTGGGCCTCTCGTATGGGGCTGCTGACCCTCGAAGCCCATTGTGACGTCTGGGATTCTAGAGTCCAGGCCTGGGGGAGGGAGGAGGCCTGGAGAAGGAGGAGGGAAAAAGGGGCTGTGGGATTTAGTGGGTGGGCTGCACCCCCCTGGGGGGCAGCAGAGCCCAATGGGTCAGAAGGGCCACAAAGACTCCCTTTACCCTTGTGGAGGGTAAGATCATTTATTCCTGAGGCGTCTTTGCTCCTTTCCCTTGGCCCCTCCCCCACCTCCATCAGATCTCAGATGACATTCCCTTCTGCTCCCCCTCCCACCCTTGGGAACACCAAGAGGTGGGTCCGAATTGTTCCTGCGTCTCACTACAGAGTGGCAGCCTGGAGGAGCTCGTGACAGGCACCCAAGGCTGGCCAGGGAGACCGAGTAGGCCCTGTGAGGCTCTGTCCCAGTCAGGAGAGGCTGGAGGGCTGGAGGGCCCCTGTGTCATGCCCCGCATCTCTTCCCCCAGGACTCCTGAGAGCAGCCTCCACGAGGCCCTGGACCAGTGCATGACCGCCCTGGACCTTTTCCTCACCAACCAGTTCTCAGAAGCACTCAGCTACCTCAAACCCAGGTGAGGCTCAAGCCCCGGTTGGGGTAGGGGGTGTGCTTGACGGTCAGGGAGAACCAGAGGTCTTGTATGAGAGGAACTCTGTGTAACTAAATGCCTTCGGCTTTCTGGGTCACCAGGACCTCTGACAAGTCCCATAAAGATGGCTCAGGCTCCATTCCACAGCCTACGTGTATCCAGGCCCTCTCCAAGGTCACTGTGACTTGCTTCTCCTCAGGCTCTTGAGGGTTCTTCACACTTCCTTATGTGTTCCCGCATAAGGAGTTTCTTCCTCGCCAGCTCTCACACGACCCTTTGTTTATTTTTCCCCAAAGCACTAAAGACTAGGTTGCCTGCTTTCCTGGGTGTTTTAGAGCAATAAAGAGGGCTGCTCCCTTGACCATTTCCTTGAATGCTCACGGCCATGTTTCTGTAAATACAAATCAATAATGTGCATATACTCCTTTTTCTTTACTTATCACTTTTTCTCAGTTTTAAAAATTGAGATATAATTCAGATACCATAAAACTCACCCTTTCTTACCACTTTAAAACATTTATTGGGCTGGGCGTGGTGGCTCACGCCTATAATCCCAGCAGTTTGGGAGGCCAAGGCGGGCAAATCACTTGAGGTCAGGAGTTGAAGACCAGCCTGGCTAACATGGTGAAACCCCATCTCTACCAAAAATATAAAAAATTAGCTGGGTGTGGTGGTGTGTGTCTGTAGTCCCAGCTACTCAGGAGGCTGAGGCAGGAGATATGCCATGAAACCCAGGACGGCTATGAGTGGCGAAAATGGACCCTCTCACTCCAGCCGTGGCGACGAGCCAACTGCTGTCTCGGCAAAAAAAAAAAAAAAAGAAAAAAGAAAAGAAAGAAATAAGCAATGTTTACCTTACTATACCTTTTTGATTAATGCTCATTGCAAAGAAAATCATGTGTGAGACTGTTTCCTTCTAGAGTTAATAATTTTCTTGCTTTTCCCATTTTCCTAATTTGCTAAACATTTATCCTTAAGTCTTTGTAACCACTCCCATCAGATCATCCTATCGTGAGTTTTTCCCAAAATGCTGAAATCTATCAAGTAAGCACTCAGTACCCCCCTCATTTTCCTGGAAACCTATCCTTGGGAGGACAGACATGTCTTCTGGCTCCTCCTGGCTGTTTCCTAGAGCTCCTTTGCATTTCTCCTGCTTCTTTGATTCCAGGTCTTTTCTCTTGTGTCCCCCTCGTTTGCCAGGGAATGTCCCATAGAAATTTCCTAAGAAAGGCTGGGCGCAGTGGCTCATGCCTGTAATTCCAGCACTTTGGGAGGCTGAGGTGGGTGGATCATTTGAGGTCAGAAGTTCAAGACCAGCCTGGCCAACGTGGTGAAACCTCGTCACTACTAAAAATACAAAGATTAGCTGGGCATGGCGGTGAGTGCCTGTAACGCCAGCTAGTTGGGAGGCTGAGGCAGGAGGATCGCTTGAATTCAGGAGGTGGAGGTTGCAGTGAGCAGAGATTGCTCCATTGCACTCCAGCCTAGGTGACAGAGTGAGACTCTGTCTGGGGGAAAAAAAAAAAAAGAAATTTCCTAAGGAAGGCTGGGTGCAGTGGCTCATGCCTGTAATCCCAGCACTTTGGGAGGCTGAGGTGGGTGGATCATTTGAAGTCAGAAGTTCAAGACCAGCCTGGCCAACGTGGTGAAACCTCGTCGCTACTAAAAATACAAAGATTAGCTGGGCATGGCGGTGAGTGCCTGTAATGCCAGCTAGTTGGGAGGCTGAGGCAGGAGGATCACTTGAATTCAGGAGGTGGAGGTTGCAGTGAGCAGAGATTGCTCCATTGTACTCCAGCCTAGGTGACAGAGTGAGACTGTCCGGGGGAAAAAAAAAAAAGAAATTTCCGGCCGGGCGCGGTGGCTCAAGCCTGTAATCCCAGCACTTTGGGAGGCCGAGACGGGCGGATCACGAGGTCAGGAGATCGAGACCATCCTGGCTAACACGGTGAAACCCCGTCTCTACTAAAAAATACAAAAAACTAGCCGGGCGAGGTGGCGTGCGCCTGTAGTCCCAGCTACTCGGGAGGCTGAGGCAGGAGAATGGCATAAACCCGGGAGGCGGAGCTTGCAGTGAGCCGAGATCCGGTCACTGCGCCCCAGCCTGGGCGACAGAGCAAGACTCCGTCTCAAAAAAAAAAAAAAAAAAAAAAAAAAAAAAGAAATTTCCTAAGAAAGACTTGTATAAATATATTTTTTTCCCTAAGAATTTTGAATACCTTGCTTCAGTGTTCTAGCATTTACTGTAGCTGTGAGAACCCTAATTCTTCTTACTTACTCCTTCTCCAGAAAGGTTTAGGATTGGCTCTTGTATTTCTGAAAATCTGGAATTTTACCGCGATGTGTGGCAATGAAGTCTTTTTTATTCTGGATTGTTATGCGGGCTCTCAGTTCTGGGCAATGCTCTTGTACGATAGTTCCATCTTATTTCCCTTTCCTGGGCTTTCTTTAACGTGCCTTTTGAACCTCCTAGGTCAGTCCTCTTCTGAGCCTCTTCCCTCTCCCTCTTGTTTTTCCTATTGCTTTATCTTTTTATTCCGTCTGATTTTTGGAAGATTTCCTCACCCTTCTCATTAATTCCTGCTGTTGACTTCTTTATCTCTGTAATCATATGATTGATTTCCTGGCATTCTTTATTCTCTGAATGTTCTTTTTTCCCTAAAACATCTTCTTCTTGGTTTATGGTGTACTAACTTCTTTATATCTATATTTGGAATATGAGGCCCTTAGGACAGTGCCTGGCATGTATTAAGTATCTAATAAAGTATTTATTGTTATTGTCACAGAATATTATTTCTGTTTAAAATATTTCATTCTTTTCCTGCATAACTTGGCTTTCTCCGGGTTCCTGGAGTCTGTTTAATGGGGGAATTCTCTTCTCATGGGGTGCTTTCTTCAAAAACCCAGCCATCCCCGGCTGTCTGTCTAGTCCTCTTTAAGAATGAGCTCATGCGAAGGCCAGCCGGGAGGTCTGTGCCAAGCTGCCTTGTAGTTGGTGGAGTTGGCTTTGGATGACCTGGCCACCAGATGTCAGCACCCAGGATGACTTGGCTTCTCCAGTGAGGAATCCTCCATTTCTCAGCCTGGACAGAGAGCCTTAGCCGCCTAAATTGGGAGACTAGGGGCTGAGGTCTAATCATCTCTGCCACCTACTCCCCCTAGTCCGCCTCTTTTCAGCTCCAACTTGTCCCCTGCACCCAAGCCCCAAGGAAAAGTGAATGCTGAGGCCAGGGGACTGGTTTCCACAAGTCCCCAGGCCTGACCTGTTCAGTTTCTGTAGACATGATGGACCCATCTTTCTCCCTCTAGGGTTAGTGGCCCAGCTTTTGGGGTGGGGTGAGTGTTCCAGGGCATGGGGCAGTGTCCACACCTCACTCCCACCCTCTGAGGGAACCTGGCGTGAGGGGGTCAGGCTGGGTGGGTCAGGGCCTGAGGCAGGCCCAGCTGCAGCTTGCTCTGTCTTAGAATGTCCAAGTTCCCCTCTCAGTTTTCTTGGAAGGCTCCCCAGCTCCTGCTTCTCCCCTAGTCATTTCCTGTTGCTCACTCAAGCCTGGACCCCAGACCATAGCCACCCTCCTGCACTGGAAACCAGCTGCCCAGGACACAGCTGCTCAGCCTGTCCCATACCCCAAGCACAGACACTGGCCCTCCTCCTCACCCACTGAACCCCCGATAAGGTCATGCCTCAGCCTACTCTAAACTGTCCTGTAGACTTGGGGCAACAGAAGGGAGTCAAAACACTGGAGAAAATATTAAAACCAAAGGCTGAGGCTGCGCCTGGGTCCTCGAGCTGTCCCTGCCACAAGGTCCCTGAAAGGGCTTTTCCCTCTATGGCCCCCTCACCTCAGGAGGGCATTCTAACAGGAGTCCTGTAGCTCTCAGGACCCCCCGAGGAAACCCTCGTCCTAACAGAGACACTCCAGGAATCCAGTCTTCCCATGAAGCCACCTGTTACCTCACGTGGGAAGCAGTGCAGCATCTGTTTCTTAGCCCCTGCCTTATTCCAGAAAAGGATCCTTTCTTTCTTTTTTCTTTCTTTTCTTTCCTTCTTTCCTTCTCTCTCTTTCTTTCTCTTTCTTTCTTTCTTTCTTTCTTTCTTTCTTTCTTTCTTTCTTTCTTTCTTTCTTTCTTTCTTTCTCTCTCTTTCTTTCTTTCTCTCTTTCTTTCTTTCTCTCTTTCTTTCTTTCTCTTTCTTTCTTTCTTGTTTGTTTTTGAGACAGAGTGTCGCTATGTCGCTCAGGCTGGAGTGCAGTGGTATGATCTCAGCTCACTGCAACCGCCACCTCCTGGGTTCAAGCGATTCTCCTGCCTCAGCCTCCCTAGTAGCTGGGATTGCAGGTGCATGCCACCATGCCTGGCTAATTTTTTATATTTTTAGTAGAGATGGGGTTTCACAATTTTGGCCAGGCTGGCCTTGAACTCCCGACCTCAGGTGATCCCCCCGCCTTAGCCTCCCACAGTGCTGGGATTACAGGCGTCAGCCACCACACCAGGCCCTTTCTTTCTTTTTGAGTTTAACAGTTTTCCTCCAGATAGTAGTATCAGTAGCACACTACCCCCATACCACCTGTGACAACCCAAAATATCTCCAGAAATTGCCACATGTCCTCACGTTGGGAGTGGGGATACCCTGGCACTTCCAGTGAGAACTGCGGGTCTAGAGAAAATAATTCTTGCTGGAAAACAGCCTCCCTTCCTCACTGATGGCCACCGAAGCTTCAGAAGATGTTGGGCCCAGTGTCCTTTGCTGTTCTTCACTGAACACACATTGTCTCGTTTAATTGTCCTGGTCCCGTGCAGTGGGGGACGGTGCTCCTCTTTCGCTCTGAGTGGGGCATCTGGGCTTTCCTAGCTCCCTTCCCCGCCTCGCCTCTGCTTTCCATAAGTCATGCCTTTGAGTAGCGTTGTCTCTGCTTCTAGCATATTTCACTTAGCACTGAGTGTGACCTGACGCACTGTCTCTGGGACGTGGAGGCTACTGCTCTTGGCTTTCTTGAATTATATGATCGTGGTTAATAAACGGCAGAGTGGGATTCGGATCCAGGTCCTCCAGCTGCACAAACCACACACCGACTGCTGTGTGTGTGGTTTGCCCTCCCCCTTGGGTTGGCGGCATTTACCTTGGGCAGGGCCTCACATCTGCCTCCCCCAAACCACGAGGAGTGAAGGAGGTGGAAAGGGTGTATCGGGGGCGTGTGTGGGGGTGCAACAAGTTCAGGGTATGCCCTTGAGCATTCTGGAGTTTCTCTGAGGGAAGAGGTAAGGTCACCTGCCAAAAGCGAGGGGCCAGGTGGTGGTGCAGGGATAACGAGGAGAGGGGAAAAGGTGTTTCTGGACAGGATGCCGGGCCTGGCTGAGGCTGTCTGTGTAGGGGGCAGCTTTCTCCAGCATTGCTCAGTGCAGTGGCAGTGTGGAGAAAGTGGGCAGTTGCGTGGCTCCTGAGCTGGGCTCCTAGCTGGGTTCAGCAGGTTGGCAGACTTGGCATTGAGTATGTTGACAAGAGAGAGAGACTGGTATGAGGACACTAGGCTAAGCAGTCAGGAAGAGGGGACAGACTGGAGGAGGGAGGATGGGCAGTGGGAGTGATGGGCCAGTACAGGCAGGTCAGGAGGCTTAGAGCTGGGAGGGTGGCGGCATCCTTTAAGACTCCAGAAGCAGAGCCATTCTGTGTGATGAAAACAAGGTCACACTGTGACTCAAAGGATGGAGATGGTTGGGCAACTGTCACTGGTTCATTCAGCAACAGCCTTTGAGCGCCCTCCTGGGCCCGGCAGTGAGCTGGGTGCTGGTGCTCCATTACTGAGCAAGATGTGGGCTGTTCTCAGGGTCCAGCAGGGAAATGGCGAAACAAGCAATAAGGGGTGCCGAGAACTACCCAGGGACCCCACTTCATGTGGGAAAGGAGCTGGTCGGGAGGACTGCATCATTCCCTGGGGCTCATTGCCAACTAGAAATTCAGGGTCATTTGTTCAAATATTATTAAAATTTAAAGACAGTGACAGCAGAGAATTAAACCAAACATGGGCCCTTTTTAGGCACCGGCCCTGTGCAACGGCATAGACCACACACCCATGAAGCTGCCCTGGAAGGCTTCCTGGAAAAAGTGACATTTACGCTGAGATGGACTGGATGAGAAGGAGTCAGCCAGATAGAGGGGGCATTTCTAGGCGTAAGGAACTGCCTTTGCAAAGACTGGGCGGCGAATGAGGGTCTGGTGTATCTGAGAGATGGAGACACTCACCCTGGAGTGGGAGGAACTGAGGCAGATCCCAGAAGGAAGAGGGCAGGGTGATGGACAGCAGACTGGGGATGGGGAGTCCATAGAAGCAACTTGGGCTGGAGAGGAAGTAGAGTCTGAAAGGACCAGAAAGTGGAGTAGGGGGAGCTTCAGTGAGCATGAAGGGGCAGAGACTTGGAGAGGTCAAGGGGCTGCCTCTGCCTCCCAGTGCCCTCCCTATCCTGACAGCTGGTCTGGGACCAAGAAGGTGGGACCCCAGTAGACATGTCCCAGAGTGAGGGGACAGCTCAGGAATGAGCCGACTAATGGCCTGGATGATATATATGCAAATAAGAACTTGGGTACAAGCTAAACTTGGAGTGCCTGAGGTTCGAGGGTTGTCATACCTCTGTACCCCATTTCCCAGTTCAGACTAGAGTTGGGGACTTCCAGGAGGTAGGCTGGGGAGGGGCTAGTATTCTTAGCCACAGACGCCTGTTGGGGCCTTGGGCCTCAGACTAGAAATTCCACTTTGTCTGCCAGCTGCCCGGGGGGAGCTGTCCCTCCTTCTGGGCCCAGCACCAGACAAGGTTCCACAGGTGGGGCTGGGCAGGTGGTGCTGAGTCCCAGGCCTCTGACCGGCAGTGGGAGAGGAAGAGAGAGACAAGGGCTTGAGAGATGGAGAGGCCTGGGAGCTGGGGTGTTATCTGGGGGATGGGTCTGTGTGCTGCCAGGGAAGCCCCTCCTCAAGGAGAAGGTTTTTATGCAGGGAAGTGGCACAGGACACGGAGGGACTCATATTTACTGAGCTTTGGTGCAGTGGCCCCTGGCCTGGGTATTATTCTATTTAAGCCATGCAAAAGCCCGTGGGGGAGAAGAGTTACGGTTTTCCTTCTGCAGGGAAAAACCTGAGGCTGAGGGAGGCTGTGAGACATGAGACATGCCAGGTCACACAGCTGGTAGCTGGCAAAGCTGAGACTCCAACCTGTGTCTGAGGGGCTCTGAAGCCTGGTTCTGGCCCCAGCTCTGGGCAGCCTGCTCCTCTCCACAAGCCACTGCCTGCAGATGAAGCAGTCCTGGCAAAGGCCTGGGAGCATCCAGAGAGTGCCCCTGGCTGGCAAGCGGTGGAGCAGCCTTGGTTTCCTGCCTTTGACCCTCAGGGATCACAGGAGTGTCACCCAGAAGTAGCTTAATTTACGAGTGTTTTATGAACAGGAAAAGGGGTAAAGTCACATGATTTCACAACCAAACAGCCTGTAAACCTTAGTCATCTCTCTTTCCTCTGAAGTTCCCAGCATAAACCTGGCACTGAGGAGCTTTATAAATAATTCACAAGGAGACCTGGGGAAGGGAGTAAAGGCGCTCCCAGTCAGTCCCACAGGCTTACAGGGACCCGGGCAGGCTAGCATTATCGTCCCCATTTTGCAGAAGCAGAAATCTAGGCCCAGACATGTTAAGTGGCTCCCTCCACATACAGAGAGGACCTGGCGTTGTTCGCATCCCTCCTTGCCTGTTGCCCTCTCCATGTGATGGACTAAATGCTACCCCCTGCCCCCAACGCACCCTTCAGCTGAGGAGCCTGGGGCGGTGGAGGAGCAGGGAGCCTGGAGACTCCTGAGGCCACCTTGGCTCAGCCCTGACATCAGTGCTGAGGACAGAGATGAGTCACACACAAACTCTGTCCTCGAGGTGCCCACAGTCTGCAGAGAGCTGAGTCTATGCTGGTCAGTTCAGCATGACCCGTACCTCAGTTACAGATGGAGTCCCTGAGGAGGAGGCCTGGATTCCCAGGGCTCTGGGAGGCATTTGAGGGCCTTGACAGATATGTCAGGAGATGTAGAGGAAGGGTATTTCTTTCTTTTAAAAAAAAATTATTACTACTTTTTAGAGACAGGGTCTCACTATGTTACTCAGCCTGGTCTCAAACTCCTGGGCTCAAACAATCCTCCCGCCTTGCCCTCCTAGAGTCCTGGGATTACAGGCATGTGCCACCACACCTGGCCGAGGAAGGGCATTGCAATCTGAGGGAACAGCCTGGGCAAAGGCCTGGAGGAGGGAAATGTGGGATTTTCTAACGGAAGGTCTTTGTGGTTCAGTGTGGCTGGGGGTGCAGTCTTGAATGTGACCAGATAGGGGTGGGTGGGGAACAGAAGCATCAAGAGGGCTGGAGAGGTGGGCAGGGCTGACATCTTGTGGAGCTTCAGCCCCGGCAGGATCTCCTAGGATGTGGGAGCCATGGGAAGGTGTAACTATTGGGCACCATGATCAGATGAGGGGAGGGAGTGGGAAGAGGCAGCAGGTGACTAGCGAGGAGGTCCAGGGAAGTGGGGTTGAGGGCGGCCCAGGGGTGGGGTTTGGGCTAAACAGGATCTCACAGACAGGACTTGGGCTCAGCCTACAGGAGGTGGGGGCAGAAGGCAAGAGGGTGGCACTGGGGGCAGGGAAGGGCAGCTTCGGGCCAACATGCACTAAAGCCTTTCTCAGTGCTCATGGCAGCTATGCTGCTGCCATCCCTACTGAGCCGATGAGGAACTGAGGCTCAAATCTGGTAGGTCACTTAGGGCCACTCAGCAGGAAGAAGGCAAGCTGGAAACCGAATCTGAGGTCTTTTGAGTAGCAGTGAGCCGATCAGACCTGGCCAAGGACCTCCCCGTGCCTGGACCCCCGGTCCCCTTGCCTCACTGCAGAATGGAGGAGGACGGAGATGAGCTGCCCAGGGCCAGCTGCCTCTGGGGCTCTGTGAGGTGGTGCTCTCAATGTCCCTTCTCTTTGGCAGAACCAAGGAAAGCATGTACCACTCGCTGACATATGCCACCATCCTGGAGATGCAGGCCATGATGACCTTTGATCCTCAGGACATCCTGCTCGCCGGCAACATGATGAAGGAGGCACAGATGCTGTGTCAGAGGTTGGGGGCGTTGGGGGCAGGGATCAGAGGTTGGGAGGCCCACCCTTCTCTCACCTTGGCCCATCCCAGTGCCTAACATGCCACTATTCGCACTGCTGCTTTTGGCTAAGACGTTGTGTCTGCAGGTGCTAAGAGCCGTCCCTGTTGGCCCTGCCTCAGGAGCTATGTTGTCTGAGCCAGTCACTGGGCAGCTTTCAGGGACCAGGGTGACAGAGTAGAGGAGGAGGCACCACGACTTGAGTGGGCAGGAGGGTAGGCCAGGCTGGGCACGAAGAGACATTAAGGAGAGGAACCCAAATGTGGCACAGGTTGGGAGCTGCCAGGAGCAGCGTCACCTGGCCTGGACGCGGGTTGACCAGGGGCTGCTGTTTAGCCTCAGCCCCAGGACTGATAAGGTGGTAACTGTCCCATTTTATCAGTGAAGACACTGAGCCTCAGAGAAGTTAAGTGACTGTTTTTGCCAGAATATCAAACCTCTTCTGCCTGACCCCAAAGTCTGTGTTCTTTCTGTTAGCTCTGTCTCTCTAGGAATGTTCTAGAGTGTAGCAGAGAGGGACAGAGACAAGTGTGGCCTCTCTCTAATCCTCACCTGAGGCCCCTCTTTTTCCTTCTCAGGCACCGGAGGAAGTCTTCTGTAACAGATTCCTTCAGCAGCCTGGTGAACCGCCCCACGCTGGGCCAATTCACTGAAGGTGTGGCATCCAGGACGTCCTCTCAACCATGCTAAGCCCAGGCGGCCAGCTCCAGGCCCAAGAAGGGGCAGTTATCCTCCCTGTCATCGCCTAGGGGGCCAGGCCCTGGGGTCCATGCCAGGACACACATGGGTCAGACCTGGGGCCTTTTGAGGCCTGGCTCTCTAGTGAGGGTGTGGGGGGCAGGTGAGACCCACTTATGTGATAGCACTACTGGCTGAGAACCTGCAAGTCAAGAAAAGGGAAAGCTGTCCAAGGCCAGGGCTCTGCTCCTCAGGCCCACAGTTGTATGTGCAGTTGAGTTTACTGATTTAATTATCCTGGTGATCACATGGGCTCCAGAGGAGAATGTGGTGTCAGCAGCTGAGTCACTGGGACAACATGAGAAGAGATGGTGTGGGCTGTCATGGTCCATCCAGGTCTTTGTGCCATGACCACATGCAGCTGTCCTGGAGGCAGCAGTGGCTGACCACAAGCAGTGAGGGGCTCTGCAGCATAGGAGAAAGTGGCCTTACCCTCCTCAAGAGCCCTGGAAGGTTCTAGTGCCCCACAATGCATCTGATGTTGCTGGGTGCACAGCACCTACAGTGGTGCTTGGAGAACAAGACTAGGCGACCTTCTTGGGGAGGGTGTGAGCTAGCTTCTAGGGACAGTGACGAACACTCTGAAGCACTGGGTGACGAGGTAGGGGACAGGAGAGGTGCTAACACAGGTTCCCTTTGCTTTTGGGAAAGTGGGGGTGTGAGGATTAGGCCTCCTGATTAGAGTCCCAGGAGGCCACAGGGCTTTGGTTTTTTCCCCATAGAGGAAATCCACGCTGAGGTCTGCTATGCAGAGTGCCTGCTGCAGCGAGCAGCCCTGACCTTCCTGCAGGTAGGGACCCCCACTTGTACAAGGAGGCTGGGATTTCAGAAGATCAATTTCCACATCCAACCACAACCCTTCCCCTAGAGCAACTGTGACCCATCCCCCATAGCAACCACGACCCATCCCCTGTAGCAATCGTGACCCATCCTTCACACTCCTGCCCCTGGCAGGGTTCAAAGGGAAGTGATGGGCATCACGCCCTCACACCCCTAGCACATGCGCTCCCACCGTTACCGGGATGCTGTTTCCACTGTGTGGCTGCTGCATTTCCTGTTAAGGCTCCTGTGGGGGTGACAGGCATTGTCTCAAAGCCTGCTTTCCATGTGATTCATTCAACAAGCTCTGTAGCACCTGTGATGTACCAGACTTTTTGCACACGGTACAGGTATGTAGTTTCTACATACCTTACACACATTACAGTTTGTTTTTGCTAATATTTACATTTGTTATTTAATCTTCACCACAGAGGCCTGTGAAGGGGAGACTTAGAGGAGAGGGGTCACTTTCCCAAGGTCACATGATTAGCAAATGATGAGCAGGGATTTGAACCTAGGTCTGATGAAGTTGGAGTCCAGGTCTCCTCACCACACAGTGGGAATGATGAGAATGATCACTGCATGCTTTTGCCTGAAAGCCTGGGTTATAATGAGAACATATCAGCATCATTATATATGTGTGTTTAGCAGAAGAGGGACATTTTAGTGTTGGGGTGCTGGTTAATTTCATAGCTTTTTTTTTCTATCTTTTTGACCTGGGGAGATTAGAATTGGACTAATCCTAATCCTTGCTTTAGGATTCACTGTAATGATTGCACCATAAACGACATTTTGTTTTGTTTGTTTATTACATTTTTACAAATAATGAACACCCATCAACACCACAGCCAACTGGAGGACAGAACACGGGCAATAACTCTCCCCACCCTGGGACGACTCGCCCTGTCGATGCACCCAGTAGGGGAATCACTACTAGAGTATTATGTTTATTGTCCCCTACCGTTTCCTTTTTGAGACGGAGTCTCGCTCTGTCGCCCAGGCTGGAGTGCAGTGGTGTGATCTCAACTCACTGCAAGCTCCGCCTCCTGGGTTCAAGCGATTCTCCCGCCTCAGCCTCTGGCTAATTTTTGTATTTTTGTATTTTTAGTAGAGATGGAGTTTCACCACGTTGGCCAGGCTGGTCTCGAATTCCTGACCTCAAGTGATGTGCTCACCTTGGCCCTACCCTATTTTTTTTAAAAAATCGCTTTCTCAGCTTTGTACTCATGCCTGAACAGCATATGGTGATGTTTCATTTGCTTTTGAGCTTCCTAAGTGGTGTGGGTCTTGCTTTCTTCCCTCGGCCTTATGTGACTGTGTGTTATTCTCTTGCCTGAACACACCGCAGTTTGTTTATCTGTCCTTCTGCTGGTGGCCATTTGGGCTGTTTCTGTTTCTTGGCTATCATGAACTTCCACAACCCTTGTCCATCCGTTTTCCATTGGGTGTAAACAGTGAATAGAGCTGCTGGCGGCTATAGGCAAAGGAAGTTTTACATTTAAAAATGTGATAAATACCTGCTTGTTGTAAAAACCACAAACAATCCAAAAACAAGCATCCCCTCTCCTTTCTCACAGTCCCTCCACCTAGAGGGAGATACTGTTAACCATTGGGCGTGGCCCCTCCAGGCCTCTCTCCAAGCACAGAGTAGTGTACCTGTGAGGCTGGTCCAACCCTGGGCGTTTTAGAGTTTTTGTTGAGCCGAAGAGCAAGGAGGTCTGGTTTGGCTGATCTCTGACCTCATCCCCCTAGGGTTCCTCACAGGGAGGGGCAGTCAGGCCCAGAGCCTTGCATGATCCCTCTCAGCCTACGGCTGCCCACCTGGGCCGGGCGGTCAGCATCTTTTCCTCCTGCAGGACGAGAACATGGTGAGCTTCATCAAAGGTGGCATCAAAGTTCGAAACAGCTACCAGACTTACAAGTGAGTGGGGCTGGCCATCCGCTTGTGGAGACTCTGGGTCACAGCCTCTGCTGTGCTGTTCCCCTCAGGCGGCTTTGTGGGAGGAGAAGAGTACTAAACAAGGCCAGAACCTAGACTGTTGATGCAAGCCAATTTCCATGCCCTCAGGACCTCAGTCTCCTGAAATCATATTCCCCTGGCTTTCTGGCTGTGTCTCTTCCCTTTGGTCCCTTGAGTGCTTACTCCCTGCCTGACCCTCTGCTGGGGAAAATAAGACATAGATTCTGCACAGGCTGGTCTGGTGGGGGCAGGGAGATAGCCACACGAACAGCCATTTTGGGAACAGCAGCAGAACTCCCACAGATCTGTTAAGGCCCAGTCCAAATGCCACCTTCTCCATGAAGGCTTCTTTAACTCTAGTACACAGGAAAGGTATACACACACACACATGCATACACACACACACACACACACACACACGTGTGGACATGCTCTCTGCAGGCCAAAATAACTTCCGTGCTATCTCTGGATCCCTGATATTCAAACTAGCCCAGGCTCAGGCCATGTTTATGAATGAAGATTCAGTCCGGAGCGTTTTTACCCAACATGGCTCCATAATCCCTTATCTATGGTTCCCACAGCAACAAAAGCTCTGAAAATCCAGTCCCTCACTCACCAAGTATTGCATTAAAACTTATTTCCATTAAAAGTTGATTTGAGGCCGGACGCGGTGGCTCAAGCCTGTAATCCCAGCACTTTGGGAGGCTGAGGCAGGCGGATCACCTGAGGTCAGGAGATCGAGACCATCCTGGCTAACACGGTGAAACCCCGTCTCTACTAAAAAATACAAAAAACTAGCCGGGCGAGGTGGCGTGCGCCTGTAGTCCCAGCTACTCGGGAGGCTGAGGCAGGAGAATGGCATAAACCCGGGAGGCGGAGCTTGCAGTGAGCTGAGATCCGGCCACTGCACTCCAGCCTGGGCGACAGAGCGAGACTCCGTCTCAAAAAAAAAAAAAAAAAAAATTTACGGTGACACCAATCTTACTACACCTGCTCAGTAGTCCACATGCACCACAGAGATGGCAGATAATTTACTTCATGCTTTTTCCATCAGGCAAGAGAGACAGAAAAATAATATTGCAAAGGGGCCTAAGGATAGACATGAAGCTATAGACCAAAAGACAGGGGAATAAAGTTTTACTTTTACAGGAGGAAAATAATTCATGGCGGTGGATATTGGGGATAGTTGCATAATAATGGAAATGTAGTTAATACCACTGAATTGTACACTTAAAATTGGTTAAGATATTAAATTTCATGATATGTATATTTATCACAGTAAAAAAAAATTGAAAAAAAGAGGAAAAGCAAAAAAGTCTTTTTTTTTTTTGGGAGATGGAGTCTTGCTCTGTCGCCCAGACTGGAGTGCAGTGGCACAGTCTCAGCTCACGGCAACCTCTGCCTCCCGGGTTCAAGCAATTCTTCTGCCTCAGCCTCCCGAATAGCTGGGACTACAGAAGTGCACCACCCCGCCTGGCTAATTTTTTGTATTTTTAGTAGAGATGGACTTTCACCACATTGGCCAGGCTGGTCTCGAACTCCTGACCTCAGGTGATCCGCCTGCCTCGGCCTCCCAAAGTGCTGGGATTACAGGTGTGAGCCACCGCGCCTGGCCTATTTATCATCTTTATCTCCCCCATTTAATGTAACTGCTTCCCTGCAGGGATATTGTGAACTTGTTACAAAGTATTGCTAGGGTATAATGTACCATATAGCATGTGGACATCACGTTACCTTGGGGGCCTATGCTAGAAGTTTTCTAGGAAAACCAGACAAGTGCTCTGGCCCCAGCCTCCCTACCAGCTGCCAAAATGATGTCGCCAAAGCACACACCTTGTCAGGCCACCCCTTGCCAACTCCCAAGGCTCCTCTTGCTCTTAAAAGAAGTCCTGAGTTATTGCTGAGTCCTTCCTGGGAGTTCACCCCTGCCCTGCTTGCCACATCTCCCACTTCACTCTGCCTTAGGTCCTTGAGCCTTCCCCCAGTTCTTCAAATATGCCAAGGTGGTTCCTACCTTAGGGCCTTTGGACGTGCTGTTCTCTCTGTCAGAAACACTTTCTGCACTGAGCTTTCTGTACCAGATTTCAGCTCAAATGTCACCTCCTCAGAGAAGCCTTTCCTATCCCCAGACTAGGTCAGGTCCAAGGATTCTTCTCCTTGGAGCCTGCCATCACCCTCATAGTGATTTAATAGGGGGAGGGAGGGTCTGTCCCTTAAAGTGAGAATGCTGTGGGGGCAAGGGCTTGGTGACTTTGGTCCCTGCTGTCTTCCAGTGCCTGGCACAGAGAAGCCTCAAGCTTGCTAATTGAAAGCCTTCAAAATGCTGTCAGCCCAGGAAGGAGGCAGACACATTGTTAAAGCCTCTGTCCTGCCTCAGGTGGCTGGGCTAGGGGCTCTGTGGCTCTGTGCAGTTGGTAACCAGGAGAAATAGAGTTGAATTCCAACCAGGAGACTCCAGGAAGACTTCCTGAAGGAGGAGGTGTTTGGGCTAGCCCAGTGGTTTTCAGCTAGGGGTGACGTCCCCCTCTGAGACATTTGGCGGTGTCTGGAGACATTTGGCGGTGTCTGGAGACATTCTGGGTGTCCAGCTGGGGAGAGGATGCTACTGGCATCTGGTGCTCAGGGGCCATGGATGCTGCTAAACATCCTCAGATGCCCAGAACAGCTCCCCTGCCACCCCCAACAACAAAGAATTATCCATCCCCAAATGTCAGCAGTGCGGAGGCTGAGAAAACCTCTTTTAGACAGGATGTGGAGTACCAACAAATGTCCAGAAGCTGCCCATGGCAGAGTGTGCCAGGGCCCATACGGCTGAAATTCAGGGGTGAGGAGTGTGTTATCATGGTGGGAGATGGGATTCGAAATTCCTCAAATATCAGTTCTCAGGATCACCAGAACTGTATGAATCCACCACCAGGGAGTTTACCTGAGGCCCAGCTGGAAGGGGTCCCCGCCCCTAACCCCCACCCCCAGCAGTGGCTGAAACAGGACTTGGCATCTCTCTGCAGGGAGCTGGACAGCCTTGTCCAGTCCTCACAGTACTGCAAGGGTGAGAACCACCCGCACTTTGAAGGAGGAGTGAAGCTCGGTGTGGGGGCCTTCAACCTGGTGAGTGCTCCTCCCCCATTTCCACAGCACCTGGCTCGAGCTCAGTCTCCCCTTCTGTCCCTGACTCGTGTGGTCACTGCCAAGTGCCCCTGCACCTGACTGTGTGCTGGGCACCGGGATCCAGAGATGATCAGATGTGTGGCCAGCCTTTAGGGACTCACAGCTGGGGTGGGGTTGGAGTGGGCGCTGGAGCCAGCTCCAGAGTCCATCAGTGCATTTCTTCCCAAGTCCGGCCAGTAGCTTGAAATCCACTGTGGTAGAGCCTTCACAGCACCTGACCATGGCACACATAATAAATCAGGGCTTTCTCTGCCCTAGAGAGCTGCTGGTTACACATTTACCAGTGGCAGGGAAGGAGACAGTCCTGAAACCAGCTGATGACTTAGAGGGGACAGAGAACTAAGTCTTCCTCCTGCATGGAGTGGGGGAAGGTTTCCTACGGGAGGGAGTGAGCATCTGTGCTGGCTCCTGAAGGATTCCTAGGAGTTTCCCAGCTGCGGAGGGGCTTTCAGGCAGAGGGATCAGGAAGTCTGGGAAAACTGCCTGATCAAGGGAGGAGGAGCTTCCCAGGGAAGATTTTAGCCTCGGGAACCTAGGTGGCCAGGGGCCTTTCCAAAGTTAGAGGGGTGGCCCTCTCCTCTCCAGGTAAAGCCTGTTAAAGAGCAGGCCTTGGGACAGTGGGGGTGGCCCCTGCCCCCTCTGGGTACCTTCACATGCTTGATTACCTCCTTTCTTGCAGACATTGTCCATGCTTCCTACTAGGATCCTGAGGCTGCTGGAGTTCGTGGGCTTTTCAGGAAACAAGGTAACCACCTGCTTCCTAGCACCCCTGACCTGCTCAGCCCCAAAACTGGGGCTGGGCTGGACAGGGTGGGGCTGACAGGCCACAGGGGCTAGGTGCCTGTCCTGGCTCAGCCCCTCTCATTGTATGACCCCGGACAATGCCCAGACCTCCCTGGGCCTCAGTCTTCTCTCCAGGCGAATGGGGCTAGTGATTCCTGCCTGGCCCTCCCAGGGTGCAGAGGCTCTGGGTGGGTGGGGGTGGCTATGAAGGGCAGCTCCATCAGTGGCCCAGGATCACACATTCTCTGAGCCTGACAGGTGTCAGGAGCTGGTCCCTCTTTCTATAGATACTGCCTCACTTCAAGACTTTGAGCAAGTCCTTCCCCAAAGGACCATTTTCTGGTGCTACCACTTCATCCAGCAGATGCCCGAGGGAGGCCCTACTGGGCATCAGACCTTGAGGAGGAACCAGAGAACTCAAGCACCCAGAGACTTTACTGAGGGCAAGAACCTGAGTACCAACCCCAGGTTGAAGGCAGCAGATCAGGGAGGGCTTCCTGGTGGAGGAGGCTTCGTGTGGTAGAAGGAGCATTGGCCTGGAAGTTAGGATCTCTGGGTCAGTCCAGCCTCATCCCCTTTTCTCTGTGACTCTGAGCAAGTCCCTACCTTCTCTGAGCCTCTTTTTAGTAAAATAAGGACCTTGTAATGGACCAGATAAGTGTTTCTCAAATGTGCACTGACCCTTACTGATATTTGCCACAAGCACGGACCTCTCTTTTATAATGTATATACTACTTTTCTCAAAAGTGACTCATGACTTTTACTGAAATTGATTCAAAGGAAACATGTCTACACAAACCTCCATATTATTTGGCATGATAAGACCATAATCATAAAAATAAATACCACAAGGGCCCAGCCATCTTTTGGAAAGCCCAGCTAGACTATGTGGTGGGCCCGGGTTCAGCCAGGGCTGCCTCTTTCTGAGAAAGAGGGCTTAGGGTGAGAGAGTTCAAACCCCGCGAACAAAGGACTGGGGATTTCTCCTGGGCACCACCAAAGGATAGAAAGATAACTGAGAAGGGAAAACGCTCACGGTGACTCAGTGTTTCCTGGCGCCTGCCCACGGACCCCTGAAATCTTGGCTGCCCTCTGCTGTCTGAGCTTTGGAAAACATTGGCTAGAGGCTGTGAAGGTCTCTTTCAGTTTTGTTTCCTTAAGAAAGCACATGGGTCATGAGTAGGACTTCAGGATGATGAAGGGATGGCCCAGAGGTGAGGCAGTGTGGCTGGGCCAGGCGGGTTGCAGGACCTACTGTGCCAGCCTGGGCTTCCTCTTTATCTCGAAGGCAGGGGAGCCATGGAAGGTTTGAGGCAGGAGTGAGGCAGGTCAGATTTGTGTTTTAGAAAGAACGAGAATGCTCTGGAGGACAGACCAGGGCAGAGACTGCAGGCAGGGAAACAAGGTGGGGGGTCTGCCCCCAGCCCCTCCCCAGCCAGGCTCTGGAGGCTTCTCCCCCAGGAAGCCTTCCCAGGCCCCACCTGTGCCCTGAGCCCGTGGCTGGGATCATCCACCTCCGTGTCTCTCGTGCTCCCAGCCAGACCTGGGTTGCTAGAGCCCTCAATACCCATTGCAGGGCAGCTGAGCCGGTGACTATAGGGAGGGTGGGGAAGGGGCTGTGGAGAAGGTGGGGGACACCTGAGACCCGCCAGGCCTTTGTCCTGGCCTTGGCAGCCATGTCCCCTTCCCCCAGGAATGCGCTGGGGCACTGAGGGGCAGCCCCTTGCTCAGGGCCACGCAGCTGACCCGGCCTCCAGGGTTCCAGCGCTCTTCCACCCCTTTGCTGGCAGCACTGCCCACACATCTGTCCAGCTGCCTCCCAGGCCCCTGCCCTCTCTGGGAGCCTCACCCACCCTCCCGTCCCCTCAGGACTATGGGCTGCTGCAGCTGGAGGAGGGCGCGTCAGGACACAGCTTCCGCGCTGTGCTGTGTGTCATGCTCCTGCTGTGCTACCACACCTTCCTCACCTTCGTGCTCGGTAGGTGCCCCTGTACAGGGGGACCTGGGGCCCTGGGGTTTGGTCGTCTCCAAGGGGGCAGGAGAATGAGGGACTACAGACCCTGCTCATGCCCCTGCGGCTAGGGATAGGGGTACTGAAACCAGAAACAGAGCCACATCCACTGTCCCGGGGACTGGCCTGCTGACGCCCACTGCCTCACAGTGTGACTAGGTTCCAGCCTCAGTTTTCTCATCTGTGAAATGGGGGCGGGGGGTGGTGCCTACCCTGTGGAGGGTGTGAAGACACTGTGTACAGCACCTCATGGTTCTGGGCACAGCCTTGGTGGACACAGGCTCCTGGTTATCGAGCCCTGTGAAGTGCTTGGGGCGATATCTGCACTGCCTTATATAATCCTCATGTCACCCTAGGGACAGGGAGAATTATCATCCCCATTTCACAGAGGGGGAAGGGGAGACCCTGGGAAGCCCCTACTGGGTTGCTGGCAGGATCACAGGAGCCAGGAGTGCTGACATGTTCTGTGTCTCCCCCACCACCTCCTCCAGGTACTGGGAACGTCAACATCGAGGAGGCCGAGAAGCTCTTGAAGCCCTACCTGAACCGGTACCCTAAGGTGAGCCCCATGCGCTGCCCGGTACCTCCAGCCTACAGACACCCACAGACCCCCACGGACCCACACAGACTTGCATATGTGTCATTGCAGGGTGCCATCTTCCTGTTCTTCGCAGGGCGGATTGAAGTCATTAAAGGCAACATTGATGCAGTGAGTGATGGGGGTCAGGGCCGGGGCTGGGGATCCCTCGGGCTCTCCCAGGCAAGCAGTAAGTCAGGCACATGTGACATACTCAGGGACAGGACAGACTGGGAGGGGGTCCCCAAGAGAGAACCAACCAGAGAGCAGGAGAGGGAGAGGCCCTTTGGACAGAGCAGCCTGGGAAGACGGAGGAGGAGGCATTTGTGGTGCCTGGGATTTTGACTGGGAGATACAGGACTGCAGCATTGCAGTGGAAGGAGGTGCGGGGAGGTGCTTGAGGGAGGCAGAGGTTAGGAAAGCCCATCTGTTTAGGGCATGGCCATTAGGCTGGAGTCTGGTACCTCCCCTCCATTATAGCTCTGTCCTGTTCTTTCAATTTGTTACAAAAAACCAGAGTCCCAGGCGGGGACTGTATTTGGGCCCAAGGTCATGTGAGACTTAGGAGGTAAAACCAGAACTGGAGGCCAGATCTCCTGGCTCCTGGGGCCCCACCTGAGCCTAGCACAGGGTTGGACCACCATGACCTGGAGAGGCCCGGTCTGCTGTGGTGTTGGGAGGTACGGAGGATGCAGAGGGGTTGGGGCTGGGTGGGCACCCATCAGGCTGACCAGAAGGTGCCTGCAGGCCATCCGGCGTTTCGAGGAGTGCTGTGAGGCCCAGCAGCACTGGAAGCAGTTCCACCACATGTGCTACTGGGAGCTGATGTGGTGCTTCACCTACAAGGGCCAGTGGAAGATGTCCTACTTCTACGCCGACCTGCTCAGCAAGGAGAACTGCTGGTCTAAGGTGGGCTGATGCCACGTGTTAGGAGCATTGGGTGAACAGGGCTGACTGTGTGCCTCCAGACCAGGGGCCAAATCCCTAACTAAACACAGATGTCTCAGCTGAAATCTAACATAACCGTAAATTCTAATAGGACTCAGGCTTGGAAGGAACTAAAGACCACAAGAGAAACTTCTGAACCACAGTGTGTCACAAAGAGACTTCTAGTCACAAAGGACAGAAACATGGCTCCCTCTGTCCAACAGAACTGTCTCTATGGTAGAAATGTTCTACTTATGCACTGCCCACATATGGTAGTCACCAGTCACATGTACACAGTGAGCACATGAAATGTGCCTAGTGCAGCTGGGAAACTGATTGTTTTCAGTTTTACTTAATTCAATTAACTAAATGTTAAATTTAAATAGCCATGTAGGGCTAGTGGCCACTAGATTGGACTATGCAATTCCAAAACACAAAAGGCTCATAAAACTGAACATTCTTGGCACATCCGACTTCAGGTAGGGCTGGATCCAGGAATTCAAATGAAATGTCTGGCTTGGTCTTTCTATCTGTGACTGTGCTCTATCCTGTGACATCTTTGTTTCTGCGACATCTTTGCAGGAAGCGTCTCTCCATGTGACAGGCAAGGTGGCCACGGGCTGCTTCTACTCACATCCTCCCCTTGGTTTCAACCAGAGTCCCACAATTCAGCCTCACTGGTCTGACTTGTCACATGCCAATGCCTGGAACAGAGGGGTGGGAAGATTCTTCATGGGCTGAGGGTAGGAGAGGAGTGGTTCCACAGAAGAAAATGATGCTCCCAGAAATAGTAGAGGGATTAACAAGATGCCATATAGGCAAAACAAAGCCAAACAGATGCTTGCCTACCAAAGATGAAATTTATCACGGTAAGTATTGAAATAAGTGTTAGCTTGTACCATCATAGTAATGATAGTGCAGAAATTGGAATCAAGAGTCTTAGAACCACCTAGCTCAGCAAACGTCTAATCTGTTATTTGTAAATACACAGGACATGTGTCTTCATGGCTTCATCCCCTGCCCATAGCAGACATTGCTAATCAATCCTCTGCCATGAGCCTGGCTGTGACCTTAGATGCTTTCCCTGCAAAGCTCCAGGCAGCTGTTAGAACTGACCTGCATTGGCACCTGTTAGGAGACCTGTCATCTGCATCTGGTCCCTCCCCCTCCTCCACATGGAGGTCTCTTTTCAGTAGCCCTGCCTGGGGACCAAGCTGAAGGGGAATTTTCTGGGTCTGGGGCAGGTGGGGCTAGGGAAGGGAATAGGCTTCTACTGAGCTCTCAACGTGTCTGGCACCTGTCCTGTCCTCCACACCACACCCAGTGAGGAGAAGTTATTATCTCCATTGGGCACATGAGGGCCACTGACACTAAGCGAGGACTGTGACTTTCCCACCCACATGGCTGTTGGTGACACACACTGGATTTGAGGACAGTCCTGTGTGACTCAGAGGCCTCTGCTTCTCTCTTGCTCCTAGAGTCCTCCCGAGGAGTTGGGGCTTGCCCTGAGCCCACCCTGCCACTGAAGGTGCTTTCTCAGGCCCAGCTCCCATGGCCCCCACACCCCCTCCTACTCCCAACAAGGACAAAGCCTCAGGGAACCTTTTTTCTTTTTTGAGAGATAGGGTCTTGCTATGTTGGTCAGGCTGGTCTTGAACTCCTGGGCCCAAGCAATCTTCCCATCCCTGCCTCCTAAAGTGCTGGGACTCCGGGCCTTAGGGAACCTTTTTGAACTGAAAGTGACTCTTGAAGCCTTCCTGTAGAGTGAGGTGGGTGGCTGGGGCTAACCACATGGGGAAAGGGAGACCTGGTGGGGGCACACAGCTGCTATATAGAGGAACGGAAGGTGGGCCAGGCCTCCCAGCTGTCAGCAAGTCTGGCCTAGTTCCCAGCCCGCTGGGGTGGCCAGTCCCGCTCTCTCTGCAACACTCTCCTCATGAGGACTTCCTGTGAAAAACGGGGGTTGTAACACTCTTGAGTTCTGGGGCCCCATCCATTTCTAATCTCTAGAACTTGGCCATCGCAGACTCCACCAACTTATAGTCCTGGGGCCTGGGCCTCTGGCCATTGCCATAGGCACCACCCGCTCTGCACAGGCAATGCCCCTCTCTGCCAGGATCCTCCGAGGTCAGCTGCTGGGTCTGACCCACAGACCCTGACTGAGTGATGGATGAACAGAGTACGCAGACACAGGCTTGCCTGTCAGCAGATAGGGGACCCTTGCCAGAGTTAGCAGCAGCCCCCATAAGCTGGCCATGCTTGCATTTATTTAGTACAGATGTAATGACAAAGGCCTAAAGCAAACTCCATTTCTGGGTAATTAACATTGTGCCCCCCGCCCCACCCCCGGAGAGAGCAGTCCTCTGCTCCGATGATTAAAGGCCAGGTTCCGAGGCCTAAGTAAACTAACTTATCTAGATCAATTCCCTTCTTGTTATCTACTCTGAGAGAACTCAGCTGTCTTCAGCCACATCCTTTCCCGAAGCTTTTGCAAAACCTCCCAGCCTTCCAAGAAGGTTTGCTGCTTTATATAATTTTTCCCACCCTGACCTATCCCCTACAGTCAGCCCTGTGGAGGCCTTTGTGTTTCCCCCAGTGCTGGCAGCCTGGAGGCTTAGATGGCCAGAAACAAGGCGGTGACAGTGGCCTGCTCAGGGCTTGGGAAACCCAAGGAGCTAAAGGCATCCTCGGGCAACCCAAGAGGACAGGAAGGCTTCTGAGGAGAGACCTCTGAGGTGGGTCTTGGAGAGGAAGGATTTAGGGAGGCAGAGTGGAGGAAGTGAGAGGACACCCCAAGCCGAGAGGGCGGCAGGACCAAAGGCTCAGAAGCCAGAGCGTTGCGGAGGGGCTCTGTGCCATGGGGTGAAGAGTTTGCACAGCAGAAGAGCAGGGGGCCTGTATCAGGGGAGACAGCTGCTCTTTTCCCCCAGTGTGGCCGCCGTACTTCTCTGGAGAGCTGGGGCATCCACAACTCTCAGTCACAGCCTCCATCCTAACCCTGCTGGTGCTGTGAGGGTGAGCTGTCTCACCCTTGGAGGTGAGCCTGGTGGAGAAGGCTCTTGGAGGTGAGCCTGGTGGAGAAGGGATAATGGCATCCCAGGCCGAGGAACAGCACAGGCAGAGGCCCGAGGAGAGTTTAAGGAGTGTAGGGGAGGAAATGGCAGAAGATGAGCCAGAAAAAGAAAGGTTAGGGCAGGCCGTGGAGGACGTGAGTGGCTGTTTGGGCTTTATCTAGCAGTAGGGGAGCCCTGGCAGGCTTGTGGCTTAGATAGGTGCTTTAGGAAGCCCACCAGCAGTTGCTGGGCCATCCCCACTTGCCAAGTCCTGTTCTAGGCCAGGAAATACAAGAGTGAGCAGGAAAAGACCCCCTCTGAAGGCTCACATCCTAGTGGGGAGAAAGACAAGAAACACAGATGTGCAATATAACATGATGTCTGGTTCCAGTAAGAGAAGTGAAGAACAAGCGAGGCCGGGCGCAGGGAGTGACGGGAGGGGCTCCTTTGTAAGGGGAGGTCAGGGGAGGCCTGTCTCAGAGGACACCAGAATGGAGCGCAGGAGCAGCGCATGGCAGTCACAAAGCCGGCCATTTGGGCAGAGGGAGCTGTGTAGGGCAGGGCAGGAGTGTGTTTGATGTGTCCTGGGAGCAGCCCGGAGGCCGTCGTATGGCTAGAGTGTGGCAGGTGTCGGGGAAACAGTAGATGTCTCCTGAGTGTGATGGGATACAACCAGATTTCCAAAAGGGACTGACGTGAGCTGACTTAAAAAGGTCAGCGTGCGAAATGGCTTGCAGGGGACAGGAGTGGGAGCAGGGAGACAGGAGACAATGTGTACCAGGACAGCAAAAAGACATCCCGGGTAGCCTGGAACAGGGAGACGGTGTGGAGATGGTGGCAGTGCGATAATGAGAGCCGTAGGGCAAGGCCAGCAGGATCCTAGAGTGAGACGGGAGGCAAAGTCACTGGGACTTGGTGCCTCCACGTCAGGGGCAGGGGAAAGGGAGAGGACAAGGGCAACCCGGGAGGTTAAAGATGGGACCGGGGCCAGGCGCAGTGGCTCATGCCTGTAATCCCAGCACTTTGGAAGGCTGAGGCGGGCGGATAGCTTGAGGTCAGGAGTTTGAAACCAGCCTGGCCAACATGCTGAAACCCCGTCTCTACTAAAAAATACAAAAATTGCCAGGCGTGGTGGTGCATGCTTGTAGTCCCAGCTACAAGCCGGGAGGCGGAGGTTGCAGTGAGCCGAGATCGCGCCATTGCACTCCAGCCTCAGTCTGGGCGACAGAGCAAGACCATCTCAAAAAAAAAAAAAAAAAAGGTGGGACCGGGAACAGGTTTCAGGCAGGGAGACTCTTCCCACAAAGACCAGCTTTTCCTCATGCTGTAAAGGGCGGGCTAAGGCCCGGGCATGGGTGGGGCTGCCAGGTGGAGGCCGCTTTCCGCCTGCTCTAGGCAGGACTCCCGGATGTCCGGCGCCCTTTCCTCTCCACCCTTTCTTAGCCAAGAGGCAAGAGCTATGGTTCGGAACTTGGCCACCTGAGGGCAGCACAGAGCCAGGCTCCTGTCTCGGGACTTCTGAGGAAGGGGCGTGGCGTGCAGGGAGAACTGGGTGGGGTAGGGGGTTCTCCCGCAGGGCCACGGTTTCACTGTCAGGGCTGGCTGTGCATCTAGTGGGCAAGGCCGTGGGGTCGACTCCCGGCTCTGCCCCAGTAGCTCTGGGGTCCCAGGAAGCAGAGGTAGGGTACCGACTCCTTTCTGGCATTGGCTTTGGGATCAAGCGAGGTGCCGGATTTGATGTGCCTGGCACACAGCAAGGCAGATAGTTCTACCAGAGTGGCCCGAGCTGAGCCGACCCAGGCCCTGCTCACGTTTCCGGCTCAAGCCTCTTTTTTTTACAGCCCGGGCTTCATCGTCTATTGATAATCCACACACATCCTGTCGCCTCCTGGCTTTGCTCAGCCCCTTCCCCTTGGCTGGAAGGCCCTGTCTGGGGCCTCAGGGAATTTCCCCATTGCCCTTCAGGGGCCCACTCTGAAGGTGTTGCTTCCCGGAAACCGCGATTGAGCCCCTGTCCTTGTGTGTCTGCCGCAGCCTCAGCCTGTCCTATCCATTACTAGTTGCATGAGTTCTTCTTGCCACTGCCTCAAGTGGAGAAGAAGGTGGCTGCTTTGACATGGGTTGTCCTGGATTCCGGTCTTCAAGTTGCTTCAACTTCTTACCTTCGTTTTTCCCCTGGGGCTTGGAGACAACGCGAGCTCCTATGCTGGGCCACGTGAGGTCCGTCTGCAGATTCCAGCCGGGCTGGGGCTGGAGGAGGGCTGCTCACACCTGGCTGTTGCTCTGTCTCACACAGGCCACCTACATTTACATGAAGGCCGCCTACCTCAGCATGTTTGGTAAGGAGGAGTACAAGCCATTCGGGGACGACGAAGTGGAATTATTTAGGTAGGTCTCACCATCGTGCTCCCACTGTGTAGGCCGCTATGGACAGACCAGCCAGGCTCTCCTGAGCTGTGGGCACTGCGGAGGGAGGAGTGGGGTGACTCCCTGCCCCCACCCCAGGACTGACCCACCTGCGTGTCCTCCCCTCCCATTGCCACCCCATGCTGCTGCTACTGGTGGTTGGAGCCCTTTGAATTTCTTCAGAGGCTTTCTTTCACAGAAATGGTTTTGTCAATATCATCTCCCTCCAAGTCTCTTTCATGTGGGCAGTAGGACAGATATGGCCACCAAGGTCCGGGGAGGGAAGGTCTTTCACTCTGCTGAGTTAACCTGAGACACTCAGAGAAGCACAGTGGAGAGCTGAGAGTCGAAATCGAACAAACAGGAGTAAACCCAGCCTCTGCTTGTTCTTAGCTGTGTCACCTGGGACAACTTCGGCATCTGTAAAATGGGAATAACAACCTCCACCTCGCAGCACTGTTTTGCAAATCAACTAGATAATAAATGTAAAGAGCCTGGCATAGAGCTAGGAGCCTAGAAGCTGCCCGCTAAGTGGTGGCTGTTTTCATTCTTCCTGTACCACCGTATCTGCTTCCTGTGAAGCATCTTTAGAGCAGAGCTCAGCCGTGGCAGGTGGAGGATGGAGCTTGGAGCCTTCCTCCAGTCTTGGTGAGGTTGACCCCAATTTGCAGACCTGGAAGTGGGTATAATATGGGCCTCCTAGGCTACTGCTGTCACAATAATAGGGCATTCATCACTTCCAGAGTGTCTGCTGCTACAGCAGGTTCCATGTCCCCTCTCAGATGACTCTTCCAGAAAGCCTAGGAGGCCAGGTGTCATTACCTCCATTTTAGAGATGAGGAAATTAAGGCCAAGAGAGGTTCTACAGTGAATAAGCAAACGAAGAGTTTGGGGGGACCTCACACCCACATCCAGCTGTTTCCTGTGCCTAAATGGCTCAGGCCTGAGGTCACAGCCACACCCAGTGACTGTGGCAGAAATAGGAGGAGGGTGGGATGGAGCTGGGTGGGTGAGGCCCCAGATGTGGAGGCATGCCTGGTGGCATACCGCATTTTGCTCTGTCCCTGGAAACAGCTGAGAAGGTGAGAACTCGCGAGTCAAGAGTTAATTAAGGGTTTGAGCTGTTTGGTGTTGGGTAGGTCGCACCCTTTCTCTGAGTGTTGGTCTCTCCTGTGAAATTGGGATTAAACTTCTCTTGAGTCCTCCCCGGAAATGGGGCCTGGGAGTGGAGGCGATAATTAGGAGGCAGGACTGGCCCAGGGGTGTTTGGCACACTGGCACCTCTGCCAGCTGGCGGGGAGGAACCCCTTGCCCAGCCATAGGAAGTGGCCAGGTCTTGGGGCAGGGTCTCTAAAATAAGACCATAGCCACAGGCTATTTCAGACCTAGAAGGCTCTTTAGAGTCCAACACTGTCATTGTACGGATGGGGAAACTGAGGCCCAGAGAGGGGCCAAGCATGGCTAGGTAGGCTGGGGACCCTCCGCCCTCTCCTACTCTTTTTCATCCTCTCCCACCCTCCCCATCTCTTTTGCAGAGCTGTGCCAGGCCTGAAGCTCAAGATTGCTGGGAAATCTCTACCCACAGAGAAGTTTGCCATCCGGAAGTCCCGGCGCTACCTCTCCTCCAACCCTATCTCGCTGCCAGTGCCTGCTCTGGTGGGTAGGAGGTCTGGACTGGCACTGCCCTCCGGGTATAGGATTGTGAGGATTCACTGAGAGCCACAGCCAGGGGGAAGTGGATGAGGAGAAAGACCTTCATGCCTCAGGGACCTGGGGAGGGTTTCGCAATTCACCTGCGAGTCTGACCCAGCCTCTACCCCTTAGAAAGAGATGGTCCACTGGGGCTGGGAGTGGAGAGACAGGCAGGCTGCAGATAAGAGGCAGAGAGGGTCGCCCTCCTGGACAGATAGCCCCATGTCGCTGTGCCCAGGCAGAGGCATCACCCGGCTGCCTGACTGCTCCAGTCTTGTCACAATGATTTTCATTGTTTTCACGGTCCCCCTCACTGGGCCAGCGTCTTCACGTTATATTCAACTCTGAACTCACATAATAGCCAACATTGTTATTGAGCACTTGCTCTGTTCAAGGCTGCCCACGCCCATTGCCTGTTGCCTCATTTGAGCCTCACATCAACCCTGTGAGTAGGCGCTGCTGGTATCTCCATTTTACAGATGGGGGTAACAAGACCTAACAGATCAGTAGAAAGATCAAATAACTTGCCCAGGTCACACAGCTGGTGAGTTGGAGTCAGAATTTGAACTCAGCAGTCTCGGCCCACAGCCCATATTCTGAGCCATGGTTGTGATGCTAATTCTATGCACGATTTGAGTAGGCATCTGATAAAGTTCCAGCTTGCTAAGAGTCCTTGTTATTCAAGTAGTAAGGGAGCCAGAAAAGTAGAAGGAAGCCTGCTTGAGAGACCTTTTTTTGGTCCTGGCTGTACTGTTCATTAACTGAATAGCCTTAGGTCGGTTCCCTCTTCCCCTTATGTAAAATGGCTATAATAATAGATTCCTTTCCCATTTCACAGAGCAGTTATGAGCATGAACGAGAAAAATGTGTTAAATACTTTATCAGTTGAAAAGGTCAATATTTGGCAGGGCGCGGTGGCTCATGCCTGTAATCCAAGCACTTTGGGAGGCCGAGGCGGGCGGATCATGAGGTCAGGAGATCGAGATCATCCTGGCTAACTTGGTGAAACCCTGTCTCTACTAAAAACACAAAAAATTAGCCAGGTGTGGTGGCAGGCGCCTGTAGTCCCAGCTTCTTGGGAGGCTGAGGCAGGAGAATGGTGTGAACCCAGGATGCGGAGCTTGCAGTGAGCCGAGATCACGCCACTGCACTCCAGCCTGGGCGACAGAGTAAGACTCTGTCTCAAAAAAAAAGTCAATATTTCTATAGTTTGATTCAGCATTTACAACCTGAGTATTTCTAAAGTTTTAAAATATTTTATGGTTTAAAATATACAATAGGCCAGTCATGGTGGCTCACGCCTGTAATCCCAGCACTTTGGGAGGCAGAGGCGGGCGGATCACCTGAGATCAGGAGTTTGAGACCAGCCTGACCAACATGGAGAAACCCCGTCTCTACTACAAATACAAAATTATCCCAGCTACTCGGGAGGCTGAGGCAGGAGAATCTCTTGAACCCAAGAGGTGGAGGTTGCCGAGATTGTGCCATTGCACTCCAGCCTGGGCAACAAGAGTGAAACTCCGTCTCAAAAAAAAAAAAAAAAAAAAATCCAGTAAAGCTATTGTTATCAAGTGAAACAGGAGGATATTGTAGGAAGGGCAAGGGAAGCAACTATACCAAAAACTTAGGGGAGAATTTCCCAAACTGTAATCTGCAAAATACTATTTATGCATTAAATGATTTCATTTGGGAAAGACTGGCCTAAACACAGTTTATATACTATAGACTTTCTTGGAGTCTTATATATTAATCTAAGAAGAAGCTTAAAGATATGTTTTTTCTCTAACTTATTTGGCCACAGAATCATTTTTAATTTTAATTTTTATTTATTTGTGGGGAAGGGAAGAATCCTTTTTTAAAAAATGAAACATTTGCTGGCCGGGTGTGGTGGTTCATGCCTGTAATCCCAGAACTTTGGGAGGCCAAGGTAGGTGGATCATTTGAGAGCAGGAGTTCAAGACCAGCCTGGCCAACATGGTGAAGTCCCATCTTTACAAAAAATTCAAAAATTAGTGGGGCGTGGTGTCATGCATCTGTAGTCCCTGTTCCTCAGGAGGCTGAGGTGGGAGGATAGCTTGAGCCCAGGAAGTCAAGGCTGCTGTGAGCTCTGATAGTGCCACTGCACTCCAGCCTGGGTGACAGAGTGAGACCCTGTCTCTAAAATAAAATAAAATTAAACATTTGCTAACTTGGAACCAGAGAACAATTGGAGAAATACTGATCTAAACTGAAATTCCCTTCCTAGAACATAATAACAAGAACCACAACAATAATGTCTTTCTAGAACTTTATGGCTACAAAGTGTGTTCACATCCATTACCTGGTTTGACAGTTTAGGAAATGCGCATTTAAGCAAACACAGTTACTATGAATGAAAGTTTAATTTAGTATTATTATTTTATTTTATTTATTTTTAAATATTTATTTTAGAGGTGGGGGTCTCACTGTGTCATACAGGCTGGAGTGTAGTGGTGATATCATAGCTCACTGCAGCCTCAAACTCCTGGGCTCAAAGGATCTTCTCATGTCAGCCTCCTAACTACAGGCGAGCACCCATGCTTAGCTACTATTTTTATTTTTTTGTAGAGACAATATCTTACTGTGTTGCCCATGGTGGTGGTGAACTCCAGGGCTCAAGAGATCCTCTCACCTCAGCCTCCCAAAGTGCTGGGATTACAGGCATGAGCCACCATGTTCAGCCTAATTTAGTATTCTGAGCTTCCTGGCAGTCAAGGCAAAAACAAACAAAGAAAAGGAACCAGTAACCTAACAAAGACAAGGTGGAAATAAATTTTTTTTTTTTTGAGTCTCACTCTGTCATCCAGGCTAGAATGCAGTGGGGTGATCATAGCTCACTGCAGCTTAGATTTCTTGGGCTCCAGCAATCCTCCCACCTAAGCCTCCCAAGTAGCTGGGACCCCAGGCTTGCACCACCATGCCTGGCTAATTTTTTTTTTTTTTTTTTGGTGGGGTTTTGCTGTGTTGTCCAGGCTGGTCTTGAACTCCTGAGCTCAAGTGATCGTGATCCACCTGCCTAAGCCTCCCAAAGTGCTGGGATTACAGGTGTGAGCCACCATATCTGGCCCCAAGATTTTTTTTTTATTGACGGTGTCTCTGTCACCCAGGCTGGAGTGCAATGGTGCCATCTTGGCTCACTGCAACCTCCGCCCCCTGGATTCAAGCAATTCTCCTGTCTCAGCCTCCTGAGTAGCTGGGATTACAGGCACGTGCCACCACACCTGGCTAGTTTTTGTATTTTTAGTAGAGATGGGGTTTCACCATGTTGGCCAGGCTGGTCTCGAACTCCTGACCTCAGGTGATCCACTCACCTTGGCCTCCCAAAGTGCTGGGATTACAGGCGTGAGCCACTGTGCCCCGCCCCCCAAAATTTTTTTAATTAAAAAAAAAAAAATCTAAGAAAAAGAAAAAAAGGAATCAGATGTGTTTTAAGAGTCTCAATGATGGTAACTTCATTCTAAAGGAAATGGAATGTGAGTGTCATTATTTAGCCCGTTGCTTTGGGAGAATAGGAGTAGGAAAGAAGGTGACATAGCCTTAAATTCTGTTGTCCTGAAATGTGTGTATGGAGCATGGCCTGGTCCTCAAAGGACAGAAAGTGGCCCCAGAGAGGTTGGGAGAAAGGACGTAATAGCACTCAGGGAGGGCATGAGCAGAAAAATAGCTGGAAAACTTCGGCAGCTATGAGCAGCACAGTACGGACATTGGTCCATCTTACATCTGCACTGGGGTAAGGTGAGAGCTCAGTACGAAATCAACAATAAGGCTCCCATAATCCCCTCAGGCCCACAGCTTCACAGGCTGACTGAGACCTGTTATGGATGATTAGAGCTAGAAGGGCCTTTAGGGAACCTCTGATCTGAACTGCCCATTTTGTAGATGGGAAAACAGAGGCCCCATTAGGAAAGAAGCCTGGGACTGACTTGCCCTCCTGCCTTCAGGAAATGATGTACATCTGGAATGGCTACGCTGTGATTGGGAAGCAGCCGACACTCACAGATGGGATGCTTGAGATCATCACCAAGGCGGAAGAGATGCTGGAGAAAGGCCCAGGTGACTTCCCTCAGGCCCTTGAGCCTGCCAGGCTAGGTCAGGTCTTTACAGCTGAAGGTTCCCTTTGCCAAAAATGTCCTTGCCCCGTTCCCTACCCTGGCAATTCTCCTTTCCCTCTCTAGACTGAGCTCCTCCAAGCAGCTGTTCCTTGTCCCCTTGGTAGGGTCAAAGCCTCTGGGCTCCCACAGCCATGGGGCTTCCTTCAGTCCTGACCTCACTGTATTGTCGTTGTCTCAGTATTTGCCTTTCCTTCTCAGATGTGACCACCCCTGAGGACAGGGACCATGTCTGATTTACCTGTGTCCCTTTGACCTAGCACAGAGTAGGGGGCTCTATAAGTAACTGCTGCAGAAATGAACAAGTCTGTCTTTTTCCTTCACATCCCTATTTTCAGAGAACGAGTACTCAGTGGATGACGAGTGCTTGGTGAAATTGTTGAAAGGCCTGTGTCTGAAATACCTGGGCCGTGCCCGGGAGGCCGAGGAGAATTTTAGGAGCATCTCTGCCAAGTAAGTGCCTCTGCAGCTGCTCCTGCTGGGTCTGAGTCTCCTGGGTAGAATATTCAGGGCTTCTCCATCCTCATGCCCACTGCAGTGGCTGACCCTAGCCAACCCCCGCTCACCACACAGGTACTAAACTAGTGTCCACTCTTGCCAGGACTTGTGCCGGGACCTGTACAGATAATTCAGACCTAGCCTCCCAGTGCCACCAAATTGCGTGACTACAGGAGCACATCCATGTTGTTTTGAGTGAACAGTGTGCCCTGGAGTTTGTAATTCAGCAACTCTGTCCTTGCCCTCGGGGAGGGCAATGTGACAGATGGCAAACTGTAGGCAGTCCAACCAAGGCTCATCAGGACCATGCTAGGGGAAAGCAGAGAGGACAGCAGGTGCCCGAGGAGGGACCTGAACTTCATGGGAGGTACTAGGAAAGGCTTTCCAAGGCTGACGTTGAAAGTGGGAAGTTCATCAGGCGGAGAAAGCAAGGGAGGACAGGTTTGAGGTGGAGTAGGGACAGCATGCACCAGTGCATGGACACAGGAAAGACACCTGAGGCGGGGTGACGGCTATGGGGTCTTTGCCTGCCTGGGTGAAGTCATAGAGAGAAAAGATTGAAGATGAAATAAGGAGGGATAGAATGAGAAGGGCCTGGATGTTTTGTTCACAAGGCTAAATTGTATTCCAAAGAAGAGAGCCAGAAAGGGTACCGGGCAAGGAAGATATCTCCAGGGCAGCATGGAGGTCGGGTCAGAGGGGACAGGTCAGAGACAGGAGACTTTACAGTTCAATAAATCATTCAACCTGGAGAAAGGGAGGTTGGGACTTAGGTGGCGCTGGATTAAGGACATGACAGGAGCCATAAGTTGTCAGGGAGCTGGAGCCCAAGGTTACACACAGGATGGGAAGGCTTTGTGTGGATCCCAGCCTTTCTATGGCTTGGTAGTGGGAACCTCCCAAAATTGGAGTTCAGGTTAGGAAATCCTCACATGGAGTTTAGGAAAGGCTCAGGAGGAGGAACCTGAGCCATGTCTTCTGTTCTGCAGTGAAAAGAAGATTAAATATGACCACTACTTGATCCCAAACGCCCTGCTGGAGCTGGCCCTGCTGTTTATGGAGCAAGGCAGAAATGAAGAGGCCATCAAACTCTTGCAATCTGCCAAGTAAGCCTTGCGTAACCTCAATCTGTCCTTTGCTCCCTCTGAACTCAGCTCAGGAGCTGGCTGGGGACAGAGTTGCCCAGACAGCAGTGAGTGGAGTTGCTAGCAAGGCCAGTCTGGCAGTCTAGAGGGCGGACCTGTGTCCCTCGGAATCCAGCTGTCACCTGTCATAGGAAGACTTCTTTCTTAATGTATGAATGGGCAGTTAGACCCCCAGAGGCAGGAAGTAAGTTCCCAAGGTCACATCAGAAGCCAGCTGCACGGCTGTGTGAGGACCCATGACTCCTGCCTTCCAGGCTAGAGGTCTATTCCCTACAACCACCCCTTCAAGCTTAGGAACCCAGGAGGACCAGGAGTGGTTCCAGTGGGCATGATACCAGGGGTGAGGGGCCACAAACCCTCCTGGTTAACTCTCCCACTGGGCAGGGCTCAACCCTCTCGGGACCCAGGAATTTCTCTACAGTCCTTCCTTGGCTGGCGGGGCTCACACAGCTCCAACAGGAGGAAAAGCATCTCTGGGAGCAAGCAGGCTCATCTGTCTGATTCTCTGCTCAATTCCAGGCAAAACTACAAGAATTACTCCATGGAGTCAAGGACACACTTTCGAATCCAGGCAGCCACACTCCAAGCCAAGTCTTCCCTAGAGAACAGCAGCAGATCCATGGTCTCATCAGTGTCCTTGTAGCTTTGTGCAGCAGTTCTGGGCTGGAAGACAGACAGACAGCTGGACAGAGCTCCTGGAAACATTTCAAAAGATCCCCTCCCCCTGCCCTGCCCTGCCTTGCCTTTGGGGTCCACCGGCGCTCCAGTTGGATGGCACGACATGGGTATCTGTGCAGAAGCCAAGCTTTTCACCAGTGTGGCCAAGGGCCTTTGCCAAGGGCAGAGCAGGTGGAGCCCTCTGCCTGCCTATCACACATACGGGTACTTGCTTTTCACTGTGATGTTTAAGAGAATGTATGAACAGTTTACATTTTCCTTAGAAATACATTGATGGGATCACAGTTGGCTTTAAAAACCAACAACCACCAACCACTTGTAAGTCTTTGTCTTCACCTATTATCATCTGGAGGTAAATCTCTTTATATGATGATGCCAAAGGGCAAATTGCTTTTCAAATTCAGCAAGTTCTCAACTTGTGTGACTGAAGGGCCTTCAGAGGACCTGAGGAGTGCCTGGGAGAGGCTGAGCCTCAGGCTTCAATGCTTCTGGGGTTGGGCACGAGGATGCACACAGACATCCACTACCTTACTACTCACACTTCATTTCACTCCTTTTGTAAATTTCCAATTTAAAAATCAAGCACGTCTTTTTAGTGAGATAAAATCTGAGCTCTTGTGTAGAAAAATCCATCTCCACCAGTAGGAAATGCCACGGCTTGATGGAAGAGCCGTGTGGCCCTTTCTATGCGAAAGCCAGGAATTTTGGGGGGCAGGTGGAGGTTCTCAGAATCCAGTCTGTATCTTTGCTGTATGCCGAACTGAAACCACTGGGAATAATTTATGAAAGATAAAAATCTTCTGTACTTCACTCCAAGGTACATTTACTTACTGATAGCATTTTTCTTAGAACTGTTATTCTTGACCTGTTGTGTGTGTGTTAGATTCTTCAGTTAAGCGACAAGAGACATTTAAGTGATAAAATTTATGCCCTTAAGGGATCGTGCATCATATATTTCAATAAAATATGTGTTGCATGCATCCTTAGGCCGGGCAGAAAGTCTTAATCAGAAGCCACACGGCCTATGTATGTTTTATTTAGACTACACAATGTTTTAAACTTTTTGAATAAGTTACCAGCATTCACAAATGGGGAGATTTCACAAATGAATCTGGTTCCTGGCCTGTAATTTAAAAAAAAAAAAAAAAAAAAAAGATCTGGCAACATTGAGCCGCATTCCCATGAGGCAACAATCAGCTAGAGCTAAGTCGCGGCTACTTTAAACACTTCGGTTACCTTTCTGGCCCCTAAAAGCATCTGAATTTGCAACCTCTGGGATTGTTAAAGTGAGAACTCAGGTTCAATGACCAACACCAGGTTTTACCCTTCACTTTCTAATGTCAGCACACTTCAACCTAACCATTTCCCTTTAGGGAAAATCATGTACCCAGTAAAAATATTCATCTGTGAAAACGTTACTCCCCAAATGCATGAATGCAATTTCTATAAGAGAAAAACCAGTTAAACTTTCCAATCTTCCAGCATTGCTGTATTTAGCAAACACAGTATCTGCCAAGGGGCTGGGTTAATATATAAAGATTCAGTTGGTCGGTCACAATGGCTCACTCCTGTAATCCCAGCACTTTGGGAGGCCGAGGTGGGTAGATCACGATGTCAGGAGATCGAAACCATCCTGGCCAATATGGTGAAACCCTGTCTCTACTAAAAATTACAAAAAAAATCAGCTGGGCGTGGTGGCACATGCCTGTAGTCACAGCTATTTGGGAGGCTGAGGCAGGAGAATCGCTTGAACCCGGTAGGGAGAGGTTGCAGTGAGCCAAGATCATGTCACTGCACTCCAGCCTGGCAACAGAGGGAGAATCCATCATATATATATATATAGTTTTGTTAGAATGAAACAAAATAATATCCTCCATAGAGAGTAATCCCTTTGCAAGCTATCTCTTCTCCAAAGCCTGGATGCTGGGAGACCAACCTGTTTCTAGGCTCCTGGACAGGACAGGGTAGGGTGGTAGAGACAGGCTGCAGGAGGACAGGCCTCCATGGCTTCCCCACATGTTGGAATGCTGCCTGGTGCTGTATCAAAGCAGCACTACTCACAGGACACCAAACATATACTAAAAAAAAAAAAAAAAGATCTGGCAACATTGAGCCGCATTCCCATGAGGCAACAATCAGCTAGAGCTAAGTCGCGGCTACTTTAAACACTTCGGTTACCTTTCTGGCCCCTAAAAGCATCTCAATTTGCAACCTCTGGGATTGTTAAAGTGAGAACTCAGGTTCAATGACCAACACCAGGTTTTACCCTTCACTTTCTAATGTCAGCACACTTCAACCTAACCATTTCCCTTTAGGGAAAATCATGTACCCAGTAAAAATATTCATCTGTGAAAACGTTACTCCCCAAATGCATGAATGCAATTTCTATAAGAGAAAAACCAGTTAAACTTTCCAATCTTCCAGCATTGCTGTATTTAGCAAACACAGTATCTGCCAAGGGGCTGGGTTAATATATAAAGATTCAGTTGGTCGGTCACAATGGCTCACTCCTGTAATCCCAGCACTTTGGGAGGCCGAGGTGGGTAGATCACGATGTCAGGAGATCGAAACCATCCTGGCCAATATGGTGAAACCCTGTCTCTACTAAAAATTACAAAAAAAATCAGCTGGGCGTGGTGGCACATGCCTGTAGTCACAGCTACTTGGGAGGCTGAGGCAGGAGAATCGCTTGAACCCGGTAGGGAGAGGTTGCAGTGAGCCAAGATCATGTCACTGCACTCCAGCCTGGCAACAGAGGGAGAATCCATCATATATATATATATAGTTTTGTTAGAATGAAACAAAATAATATCCTCCATAGAGAGTAATCCCTTTGCAAGCTATCTCTTCTCCAAAGCCTGGATGCTGGGAGACCAACCTGTTTCTAGGCTCCTGGACAGGACAGGGTAGGGTGGTAGAGACAGGCTGCAGGAGGACAGGCCTCCATGGCTTCCCCACATGTTGGAATGCTGCCTGGTGCTGTATCAAAGCAGCACTACTCACAGGACACCAAACATATACTTTGGAAAATTGCAGTTTACAAAAAAAAACTTTATCTCAACGTTAATTTCAGGTGCGTTTTTTTTTTTTGAGACAGATCTCACTATGTCACCAGGCTGGAGTGCAGTGGCACGATCTCAGCTCACTGCAACCTCTGCCTCCCAGGTTCAAGCAATTCTCCTGCCTCAGCCTCCTGCGTAGCTGGGAGTACAGGCACATGCCACCATGCCCAGCTAATTTTTGTATTTTTAGTAGAGATGGGGTTTCACCATGTTGGCCAGGATGGTCTCGATCTCCTGACCTCGTGATCCACCTGCCTCGGCCTCCCAAAGTGCTGGGATTATACAGGCGTGAGCCGCCGCGCCCCGCCACAGGTACTTTCATTTCAAAATTTTGTCAAGATGATTTCCTTGTCAACATTTGCTGTTGATTTCCTGCTGGGCTTCATTAATTAACCCTATTTCACTTTTACCCTGCTGCCCTGATAAGATAAATCAGTGGGTTTTGCCTCCTATATCCCACCTGCAAATTCTGAGATAATCTATCCAAAAATATATATATATATATGTGAAGGACAATGAAAACACTGGGTTTCTAACATCACCATATCCTTCTTATGCAAGGGCCTTAGAAAGTGAAAATTCTGTCATAGGCTCTCAGTGAGTCATCTGTGGTCACTGCTTCTCTAACAGTGCAGACCTTCTCAGCACATCTGCCGTGGAAAGGCCGCAGATCAGGTGGAAGGTTTGAGCCTGGAAATAAGGAGATCTGAATTCCAGTCCTGACTTTGCTACTGATTTTCAGCGTAACCTTGGGCAAGTCACAGATACTCTAAAAATGAGCAATTTGGACAAGATTAAGGCTCTTTCCTGCCTTCTACAGTTTATGTTGCAAAATGAGGCAACAGATACACTTCCCTATCTTTCTGCTAAAGCCTTGCGTCCCTAAGCAATTCAACCTGAAATAATAGACTTCCTGAGGGGCTGTACAGTAGCCAGAACACCCAGAGAGCAAGTAATCCTCATTTAGAGAAAGTCTAAATCCTGTGCCCCACAGATGAATTCAGTTGTTAGGGAAGTAGCAACCATGTAACGTGATCTGCACAGGTCCTTGGCAACAGAAAGTCTACCTCAGCCTCTCTCTGGTCACAGGCAGAGTGGCTTCTAGCAGTGTGCTGGGCCCTCAGCTCTCCCATGGGTGGGCAGGTTGCCCTATTATCTCTTGAGCCAGAATGGGAGTGTTTCCAAGACAGTTATCATCATTCACAGCAGAGAACCACAACCTGACATCAAGGCCAGGATCCTAAAAGGCCAACACCAACTCAAGATTTGGCTGAGGTCCAGGTGGGAGAGTCCCAAGTGAAGAACGGCATCAAGAGGTTTTAAGAAAGCTCCAGTGCACTGAGTACTAGAACCATTCAAGGGAATCATCCAGACCCTTTCCTCTGTGGTTACTCCCAAGTTCATTTCTTCTAAGATGATGGGAGTCGATAGTCTTTTCCTTGTTTACTTCAAATTTAAAGCCTAACAGTGCCTTCTCAACATCCTTAGCATCATCACATTAATTCAGTCATACATGAGAGGTGTCTGGATTCTGAAATCCAAGCAGCAAATGGGAACTTCTCACGCCCACCCTCAGATGCAGCCTTCCAAGGTCAGAAAGTGCCTTCTGCTCGGGTTAGCATGGCTCGTTTGAATTCCAGTGCAAAGTTCATTACTGATCAATAGGCTAGGTCCACAAACAACCTCATTTTGGGGCTCGAAAAATCCATTTCTAAATGAGTAATCTATGACTGCTTCCACTGTATAAAGTCAACTGTTAAGTGACAAAATAAGAATAGAGGCTGGGCGCGGTGGCTCAAGCCTGTAATCCCAGCACTTTGGGAGGCCGAGACGGGCGGATCATGAGGTCAGGAGATCGAGACCATCCTGGCTAACACAGTGAAACCCCGTCTCTACTAAAAATACAAAAACTTAGCCAGGCGAGGTGGCAGGCGCCTGTAGTCCCAGCTACTCGGGAGGCTGAGGCAGGAGAATGGCGTGAACCCGGGAGGCGGAGCTTGCAGTGAGCTGAGATCTGGCCACTGCACTCCAGCCTGGGTGACAGAGCGAGACTCCGTAAAAAAAAAAAAAGAATAGAGCTCTTTGGGAAGACAGAATTAACTATTGAAGGTCTCTATGGACTGTTAAAAGTTGATGTTTGGCTGGGCACAGTGGCTCACATCTGTAATCCCAGCACTTTGAGAGGCTGAGGCAGGTGTATCAAAAGGTCAGGAGATTGAGACCATCCTGGCCAACATGGTGAAACTCCATCTCTACTAAAAATACAAAAATTAGCCGGGCGTGGTGGTGGGCACCTGTAGTCCCTGCTACTCAGGAGGCTGAGGCGGGAGAATTGCCTGAACCCAGGACGTGGAGGTTGCAGTGAGTCGAGATCGTGCCTCTGCACTCCAGCCTGGTGACAGAGCAGGACTCTGTCTCAAAAAAAAAAAGTGGATGTTTAAGTTTAATCAGAGACATCACAGCTAATGTCTCACAAATGACTAGATCAGGTTTGTTTTTCTTCCTCCACATTAACAAACACTTCAGAACATCAGACACCATATGCTCTGGGGAAAATAATAAAAGCTAATATTTATTAAATACTCATTATGTGCCAGTTGCTATTCTAAGACTTTACATTTATGTAATCCTCATAATATTTATGTAATCCTTTGGAGTGGGGCCATTGTCATTTTGCAGATGGCAAAACTGAGGCACGGGTAAATAAGTTGCCTCAGATCACACGATTATGCAGCAGAAAGATTTGAAGACAGGCTGCTGAACTCTAAAGCCTGTACTTTGCTACACTGTTGGTCAAGCTGT